GTGGGCTTATTTTTAAAAATCTCATTGCACATACATGCAAGAGATTTGACAGAAATTCTCTGGAAAGAATGGAAAACAGGATGTTAGAATGTTTTTATGAGATTAAATATTAGCCTGCAACAAATGACCAAGTACATGTAGTCTGTCCATGGTTTATAAAACTGTGGCTTTCCTCAACTATCTTGCACCCACTATTATCACTCTGTGAGTAATTTATGTCTATGCGGAAGCTACTGCTCATTTTGTAGGTTTTCCCTATTCAAACTGTGAAACCAAAATTTGCACAAAAACATTCCTGAGAACGGGTTGCTCATTGGCAGAGGCTTTTCCAAAGACAGAAGTGAAAAAAGTGCAGAAACTGGGAGAAAATGATGTTGAAATTTGTGCCCCTGTATAGTTGCAATGGACCACTCAAGCTTGTTGCCTCCACTTGCCATTTATGCGCATGCACTAGTAAAACAATTTGGTCTTTGGTAACTGTTACAGAAGGGTGGGGCCTCATTTGTGTGTATTTAGTGGTACAACATACATAATGCCATGGTAAAATACATGTACATGTATATCAGATGAACAGATCAGCTTTTGTCAAGTTAACTGAAACTTGTTAGTTTCAATTATTTTCAACGTTTGTGTGACATTTTCTATGATGCCCAGTTTATGTAAATATATGTAACATTATGACTCAAATAACAACAGAATGGTTCCAGACCCATCCATTAAAGTTACATGTACATGTACTGTATACTATAATTTAGGAGCAGGAACCAAAGTATTGTTGCGTTCCCTAAATATCAAGTCAATGGTAGCATGAACTTTATTAGTGTCTATGGGATGTGATATTTGGGGTCAACAATTTATTAAAGGGTGGACGTGAAACAAGGGGTTTGGGTGACAGTCAAACTGTATGGTTGGTTTATTGCTCTCGCTTCTCTTCATCAAAATTCAATGTGGGTTTGAAGACAGGTGTGGCTTAACATAATACAACACACAAAAGGCAAAGTTATAGAGAGGCGAAGTTGTATACGAGTGTAACTTAACTACGGGTTTGGCAGGATCATTGGAACAGCAAGTCAGACGGAGTGGGTTATGGTACGGTACCTGTGTGTAGCATCGCACAACTACATGTAGGCTACACTCATTGGGCCAGACCATGGTGGGGGCTGTCCCGGACCACCGCGGTGACTAGCAAGGGCTGGACAGGGCCAGCGCCGGTATGTACCGACCCCACTGCCGCTCAGACCGCAATGTGTTGAGCGCAATGATAAGATCGCCGCACTGTGTACCATTGGCTCAGCGTAGACACGGGGAGGACTGGGCTAGTTAGTAGGACAAGGGTGGCGAGGGACACGAGGGTGTCTCGCCCGGCAATCGGTTCGGACGTAGCGGTGACGGGCCGCTACGACTCTCACTAGCACCCTGGGTTAATTCGTACCGCTCTCGCATCGGTCTAAGCTAAGCTAGCTGGTCATTCATATGGTTACATTTCTTTGCCATAAGAATGGTTACTATCGCACTTCTCTCGGAAAGGGTCCAACCGCCGCACTACGTTAGGTTCCGCTCTCGCAACAAGGGTTTGGTCCGCCGCACCTGACCGACGAGCTAAGGAAAATCTGCTCTATTTATAGGATTCTAGAGGCTTAGGAATTAATAAAATATGAGCGTCGCTGAACAGCTCAACCAATGAAAATCTTCCATCTCAAAGGGTCACATGACTTCCTTCTAGAGTCGTGTGCAAGAATCTAAGGGTCGTGTGTAAAAAGGTAAAATACAGAATAAGAAGTCGCGTGTACAAAGTGTAGAGCCGGGTGCGTGAAAGTGCTTACCCAGTCATCTGTGGCAAATGATTGACAGTTACAAAGTCTTAGGTTTCTGAACATTAGCATTTGAGGGAGCCTTACCGCGCCCAACCAGGCAGTCACGTGAAGGGGGAATTTAGACATGCCAAAAACTGAGCAGAGAAAACACAAGGACAAAGGAGTGAAGGACACGATCACGCCAGAGTACAGCATGAATAACTTTATATTAAATTAGCATCTCTGCTACTTGTCCATAATGCATAGCTGAGCTAAATAAGAGCCCCTTACAAATGCAAGGACCGAGAACAAGTAAAACTAGGGGGCGCTGGGATTCCAAGATTTGCGGGTGCGTAACAGTATATTAAACCGTTCTTCACGTTCCATGTGTAGTGAAAATGCCCCCGGTCATTTTCTTGTGATGGAAACTATTTCTTTTCTTGACGGACTTCTCTTCCAAAATTATCTTCCTTAAACTTACCTTATGTTTTGATAGCAGCCTGGTGGGTTTGGTGACTTTTTGGAGTGTAAACTGCCCAAAACATGTGTACNATTTTATCCCAACTATAATGATCAGCTATTTTGTACTCTGCCATGAGCCTGCATAGCTTGTACTGTGCTGAGATTCAAAATGGCTGCCTCCATTTCTCTAACATAACTCACGATTGGTCCAAAGTTTATACTCAATTATTTTCATATTTAGACTGTAAAATTGGCAAGTACAGGAGTAGAAACTTTTCTTTACTTTATCTGTCCCAACTGGAGTCTTTGAGGTTTTGATAGGCAAGTATTTTTGTAATAACAGTTTAATTATTTTCTGAAGTTTTGGGTCAGGCTGTCTGCTCACTTGGCAGCAAAGATCATATAGCGCCGCAAAGCGGTGCAAGATGGCGAAATTCATCATGAATACACGTAAAATGTTTTAATCGCATGGGCGCCATTTGAGCAAGCGATACGCCTGCGCAATGCACATTAATGCACAGGCGCCGCGGCTGACACGTGCACCTGGTGAGCCTGCGCCCAAGCATTACTGTAAACTGCGCAGGCGTATCGCTTGCTCAAATGGCGCCCATGGTAATTACATCTTTTGGGCAGAGTTATCCATCTTGTGCCTTCGGCACTTTACGATCTTTGGTTGGCAGACAGTGCTCATGAATATTACTGACCTGACATCACTACACTTTGCACAATGGAAGAAGGGCGTGTTTCCATTCATTCATGATTTCTTGGACCCATGTTTTTGAAGAATTTGGGGGATTTTACAGTATGTTCTTTGTTCAAATGGACATGATGGAGAGAGTAAGAGCTGAACATTTATTTGATGCTTTAATTGAATATACGTGTACATGATAAATTGGTGCTTTTTTGAATATATGAAAATTCCTCCGTGAGTAGTAGTTTTCATTGAGTAAAATCTCATGGGTGTGGCTCATTTACTACATGCATGATCAGCTGCGCATATGGTGCGCTTTTCAAGGGCCAGATTTTTGGTGAGTTGGGTTGGTTGTTTGGTTTGATTTGTGCTGCCGCTCACTGATTATTAAAACAGAGGAGCTGAGGAGCACGCAGAGGCGCTGTTCATTTAGGAATAATTGTCACTGAGTCGGGACCCAGATCTTGCAGGGGAGAAAAACGGTAAGTTGAGAAATATTAGGAGACTAGGAACTGAAAATTTGATTGAGGAGCAGAGGAGGAGAGGATCCTCAGTGAGGCTGAGGAGCTCATAGATCTAGGCCAATTACAGGCACACTGTAAGTTATTTTGGAATTTTGGAAACAGGAGCCAGATGAAAAAAATCATAATCTTATGAATTATTTCCACTGTAATTGGTGGTAAGGATATTCAAGAAACTACTGGTAGACCTGTCAGAGGCCTTGGATAAAGTCTTGGGGCATTTATAAGAGAAGCACAGGATTTGCCTAGTGATGTTTGTTTAAGATTTATAAGAGAGGCACAGGAGTTGCCAAGTGATATTTAAGATTTAAGAGAGGCACAGGAGTTGCCTAATGATATTTAAGATTTAAAAGAGAGACACAGAAGTTGCCAAGTGATATTTATTTAAGATTTATAAGAGAGGCACAGGAGTTGCCTAATGATATTTATTTAAGATTTAAAAGAGAGGCACAGGAGTTGCCTAATGATATTTATTTAAGATTTAAAAGAGAGACACAGAAGTTGCCAAGTGACATTTATTTAAGATTTATAAGAGAGGCACAGGAGTTGCTTAATGGTGTTTATTAAATTTATGAGAGGCCTAGGTGGTGCCTAGAGTTATTAAGGATTCATAAGAGCTTTATTGCTGAGGAGTACATGAATTAATTGGTAGGAACAGGTGTTGCTCTACCGTTGCCTATACTTGCTGCCTAGACCCTACACTCAAATAATTATATTTTGCTCGTCCTCCCATTGCAGTGTAGTTATCAGAGCCCACTCTATTAACAGATGGTTCCATGGACACTTATTGGTTGCATAATGTACATGTATAAATCAATTTTGTACCAATTATTCTCAGTTCATCCTTGCCCTTGTTTTCTCAATGATGTCAGACTTGAATTAAATTATTACTGTTGAGATGTTCTGAAACTTGTCTCAATTGTGAATTCCATGAGTAGATATTGTCTTACCTCCTTAAAAAAATCTTGCATTCTTGCTTGACTTATCTCTTCACTTGGTTATATATTTTGATGGCAAACCTTTGTCTTAGATCTCGAAATACTAAACAAGTGAGGTTTAGGGCCTATAAAGTTTCCGCCTGATGGCAGCGCTATCGTTGGAAGAGTCGGTAACAGGTCAGCTCAAATGAAATGATCCCCCCCTTTTTCTTTTGACTGAGTCCTGACACGCATCCGAGACAACACCCCACTTTACCATGAAGCTTCCAGAGAAAACAATCCAAAGGGTGAAATATGGGAGAAAAAGTGTTATTTTTAACTTCAGTTCACGTGTAAGTCGGCCATTTTTTTAAAGGCTAAATGCTTGCTGCATATATCCTTGTGCAGACATATTTGTTAGGCAGGACACCACACGTTTGAATGGGCTGGGGTCAGGTGCAAGGGTAACCGAAAACCGCTGTATCTATTTTGAACATCCAATAGATGGAACATTTTCTTCCCATTCCCATTCTTCCCCATTGTGTTCATTCATTACAGCAGCATTATAAGGAAGTGAAGAAAAAAAAGACCAAAAGAAAATTATTGCAGTGCTCACCGGAAATGTTGTGACCAAATCTTTGGACTGGCATCCTTCATCAGGGTAAGCATGTATGCTGCTGACGAGAAACAGTGGATTTGATTGTTGATGCCAAACAGGATCAGTGCTCCATGATGGAATACAGTACACATGTATGGGGGAGACTATATGGTCATCTACAGCAGTCGTCATCTCTTGATGTAAAGTTGGTATCAGGAATGACGAGGAGAGGTCAAATGTTGACTTGTGAACTTTCATCTGGTGAGGAAATGGTACAAAGTTGTACTAATTACCACAAAGCAACAATACAATATCTATACAAACTATATGTGTATGCACACTTACTGAGAGGCTTGGGTGCTCTTATGTGTTAAGAAAAGACAATCTTAAAATTACAAGAATGGGGACTTAAAATTGTGAAGTGGACATCCATGTTTGCCATCTTGAAAAAGGGGCAGCTCACAACCAACTTTTATGTGTCACACAAGTGGGCGCCGTAACAATACATACATGTATGTACACATATGTATCTTCGTCTTCTACGGTTTAAATACACGGGGAGCACAATTTTACACACAATTTTATCCTGTTATAATCGTACACAAAAGACAGAGCCAGGCGATATGCTTCAATTATTATGGTGTGCCAGCATGCATTTTCTGTGGGTGCTGTGGATTGAAACGAGTGCTGTAAACACAGATTTTTTTTCATGGCCGGATTTTATGCAGAAACTTGTTTTTCACGGCCGAAGTTTTAAAAAATGCAGAAATCTGCAGATCCCTGGAAAAACTGCTTGCTTGCATATAGTGCTTTTAACAATTTTACACCACGCAAAACAAAGCAACACAATCAGAAAATCGGGCCTTATTGAAAACATTTTTAACAGCAGACTTTTGTTTCATCCATTACAAACACAGGTTTCACTTTCACTTGCTAGTACATGTATACGGATGTCACACAGTCCTTAATGACTTACTGCAGGACAAAATCCCCTGCGAACACAGACATGACAAAGCACTGTCCTCGAAGACAAAAAATTGTCAGCAAACTGATTAGAGTATCGTGTAATTGGACAACCAGAATAAGAAGCCATTACTGCGGTGGCACAAGGCTTGTGGACAGGTGGTACGCGCGCGTTACATGCCTCTTTGACCAGTCGGGTGCCATGAATTGTTGTAGTTTGCCAAATGCATGCACGCATCAACATAATCATGCTGAAGAACGTGCGCATGAGTGCAGTGCCACTGCAGTTTGCGTCTAACTGGGTTAGACTATATGTACATGTACATACATGTACACTGCAACTGACTGGTTCCATTCAGAAAGCCAATCTCTGATTCATGATCCAGGGCATGACAGTACACGCAGCCCCAAATAAATCATTTTGTGAGTCCTTTCTCCTTCCCACAATGCCTTTCTACAACTACTGTGCAAAAACCCCCGTGCAACTATTTGCATCGCTGCGAGTGTGAGGGGCACAATAGGCGATCAGTTTCAAATCAGGTTGCTCCATGGTCGCACGCGTTTCGTGTTCGCTCCGGTTGCGCTCATGCTGTTTCCATGATCCTGCTAAATTGGTCAGCTTGCCAGAAGTTTTAAATGGAAACGCTAAGGAAAGGCTTCCTGGATGAGGTTACTGGTTCATTCTGCCACTGTGATGGAGGTAGAGTTGGTGCAAGAGGGAAGGTATATTTAAATCCAGAGAGAACAGGTAGGAGATATCCAAACCCCATTTTGGTCTTTGAATACGAACGCCCGGGGAGCAAGGCATTTAGACCATGGTTAGATCTCCTTCCATCTCCTTGGGGCATTTCAGTATTTACAAGAGACTATTCTTCAGGTTTCATTCATTTGGCTCGCTATTTGCCTTCATCGAGGGGGGCGGCTGCTAAGATCGGCGGGTGCGGCGCTGTCAGCAGCCCGACAAATATAACCTTATATTTTGAGGAATATTGACTCTGCGTATGTCCATGTATGTTCTTTTATCACATATGAGGCTGGGGAATGACCAATGTAAACTCCCCAGTGTATAGGAAGCCACCCGAGATTACATTCGTCGTGGAGGCTTCCTTGTGGGAGAGGTCTAAAATAATAAGCAATGGGAAGTATGAAAATCGACTGTAGTAGTCCAATGAGTGCAGGCATTCGGTGGCCCGACTGGGTTTTGCAAGTTGTGCTGGGCAGCACAGCACACCTATCAAAGACGACATAATCCATGTTTCACTTCATTATGAGATGACCCTGTTTAATGACTAGTTCTGTAAAGATGATTCATGCTATGTGAGGATAATTCATGTTATGTATAAATATCACACGAACTGTGAAGGACCGGGTCGGGATTACCCCGACAGTGCTCCTCTAATCCAAGAAGGATGGATTTAGGAAAAATGGCAGGAAAAGTTCAGGCCGAATAAGGTCTCTGGCGGAGGACATAGTTGGCTTTTGCCACTGATGCAATAACAGACACGGAATGTAGGCCTGAAGGGCTAGGATTTTTACAGGCTCAGTGAAGGAACATTTTAACCATTTTGCTTGCATTAGAATAGTGCATTTGTGTAGGTAGAGTACAAGTAGCTACATGCACACGTAGATCAGCCAGCGTGAAAGTATGCGTTCCTTTGGTATTATTTTGCATTAAATTCGTTGTTTGGTCGATGGCAGGTGTTTTTCAGAGTATCAATCACAATAGGAGGTTGCATACTCCTTTGGTTTGTCCCTTGGTTTGACCAAAGATTGGGGAACTTATAGGACAAAAAATGGTTACGTTGTTTAATTGATTTGTGCCACACACATGTGTTTGCAGCTTTATCTGTGCTTCCTGAACAACTATGTAGCTTGCACATGCATTATTAATCAAACTCCTCAGGTTGCTAGGGCCATTCAGACTTCAGTGACATTGTTGCAAGCAGGGTTTAATTGCCGTACACGCCATTTTATGATGATGGGTTCACACGTGTGTCAGAGCGTTAACGTCATAAAAGCTTTTGCTGTCGTGTTTTCACCAAATTTACATTTAGATGAAAATCATTTACATGTAAATTACCAGATAAGCTGATTGTTCATTATTTTTTCTTTTTAGGTGAGACTGGTGTTTTTAGATTTTGCTTAGCTTCGATATCCTTAAATAATGCTAATGTTATATACCCTTTGATGGGATTCTGAACCGGATTCTGACTAACCAATCAAATTAGGGACAAATTGAGGTTGAAAATAGTGCCAAAAATTTCCTATTCAGGATCAGGGAAGGTCCAACTAGCTCCTGGACATTAGAGACGGGAATTATTAAGGATGTTTCTAATAAAATTAGTTATACAAGGCATACGAGATGGTCGGCGCACAGGTTGGTACGCGCACAAGTTGGTACAAGTACGGCTTGACCAAACTGCACACGAGTTGGTCAGTGTAAGAGTTGACCAAACTGCACATGAGTTGGTCAGTGTATGAGTTGGGTGGCGTACGAGTTGACCTGCGTCGCGACTCAGGGCCGACAGGTTAAACATTGTGACAAAAAGTTTTGAATGACAGCCAAAAATAATATTTCGTCTGACAGAAGATGTCATAAATCATTTCTTGATGAGGTTGAATGTTTATTGGAGAGGTTAATTAACCTTACCTCGTTAAAATGGTGAAATTCACGCGTGTTTTGCTCGTCGACACAACGGAAGATAGACAGCGTGGTAGTCACGATAATCTTGAAAAAAACGCGCCCTCTACTGATTATATAAAGAGCGCCCTCCACTGATTTGATATATAGCGCCCTCTGTTGGCTAAAAAATAGCGCCCTCTATTGACGAAATATTTTGCATTATATTTTGATTGTATTAATAGCGCCCTCTATTGAGTTTTCAAAATATCGAAAATTTCACAATAGCGCCCTCTTCTGAACAAGAAGCACTACAGACACATAATGCACATAATAAAATAGAGAAATATCGCTCGATACCCAAGTGGAAATAGTAAAGAAATTTCTTGTCCCCAACTGCTATCTCCTTTTTGCCTCCTTCGAATTTTAATTATTTTGACTTGGACAATTTTTGTTAATTTGGTTTAAAGAATTGAATGTTTTTAAAAGCCACAAAATATCCTTTCAGCCTGACAAAAAAAAAACGAAATTGGAAAGGAGTGCTTTTCATTCCAATCTTTGGAAATTCAGCCCAATACCTTTTTCTTCAGAGAACTATCTGAGAGTGCACAAAAATATTCCATGTTTGCGTAGGAACTAGAATCTGTTGCATCATTTGTACCACTTCCATGCAAATCTAAAATCCAAATATTTAAGACTTTAACATTTTACACAAGAATTTGGTGAAAAAATTACCCACTTGCCAACAACTTGCCAACTTAGAACTACCTCTCAATGCAAGAGAAGTGTATTTGAGCAAACACTAATTATTTTAATGCTTTTAAAGCCCCTAACCCAATTAAATAAAACAGTTTACAGGAGGATTCAAGCCAAAGTAACACAAGCAAAATATTATACCATAAGGCTTTTGCTTTTATTTAATGTGTGTTACAATTTAAGGGACACATTAACCTTTTAAGGGTACTTTATGCATATTTATTACACGTATCTAGAATCCAGATTAATGCATGGATTTTTCTTTGGCAATGCAGGCATTATCTACAAAGCCTAAGTCATACACTTTAAACATGTCCTTATAATACATAATACAAACATTTGTATGTTTAAACATGTAAAAATCAATACATCACATTTACAATCATGCTATCTAATTAAAAAATAACACAATTGATCATTTTTTCAAGTCTGTTTTTTTCCAAATAGTGAGAGATGTTTTCCCCTGTTATGCAACGAAAAAAATACTTTAAACACACTTATTGAAAAGCTGCAAAATTAGCCAAAGGTAGCCTACATGGAACTAATTCTCATGTTCGCTTATCAAATAAGACCAATACGTCTGACTCCATCTAACAAGTTGTCTAGAATTTACATCTAAACATCAATGCATGAAAATAGAAGATCAGTGGCTTGTCAGTGCCACTGGCTGATCTGAATCTGGGATAGGGGTTTTATGTGAGGTACATGGTTTCAAGGGGGGAACTGCCCCTCTCCCCCCAACCAAGCTACACCACTGTCTCTATAGATTCACTGTCACCTAAATCTGTGAGGAGATCAAGTTGACCATGTTTCAAAAATGTCCATTCATTTTGCAATCAATTTGAGTTTTCTATTTAAAAGGCCACAGGTGATATTGCACACGTTAGAAAAAAGGGAACACTGCCAGAAGGAAATTTCATCTAAGTCTACACACGATTACTATTAACTACACATTTCAAGCTGATTGGAGTTTTTATAAACCGTTGGGATATTGCTGCCTCGTCTGAGTACAGACTGAGAGTGCTCCCTTGTGACAAAGCCATGAAGTCCGTATGTGATGGCTCTAAAATTTTTTTGATGGCTCCTGTGTCTCCATAAGCCTTGGATTCAAAAATAACAAAACATCCCCAAATTGTTGAGAACATTGCATGCGGCTGACATCGCTCAGACAGGAAATATGCTCTGAACAAAAAATAAGTGCACTGTAGACAATGGAACTTGAGCGGAAAGTTTTGTTGAGCACGACAAGAAAACAAAATTCACAGCCACTGTGGCACAATTTGCACAATGCCTATCCAGTATATATGACAAATCACCATTTCCCTCATGATTAGTATTTCAATTGGTGGTCAGATGCTTGGATGTGATTGGAACATACCAACACAAAGTCCATCCTTTCCTACTCGAAACAGCTTAAAGTCAGGAATGGTTTGCTCCAGCCAGACACAGTGGAAACAAACAAAGACAATGCAGAGGTGCACCAATTGGAGCGTTCCTGAAAGAGCTGCAACATTTCGGTTTCTTGGAGATGCTCCAACGCATCTCTGATCATTTCAGAGGGATTCCACGTTTCAGCAGGTCGTCCAGCTTCTCTTCTTTGGCTCGTCTCAGATGCATTGTCTACCAGAACAGGGAGAAACATATAAAACTGAGTGCTCAGGCGACCGGTCTGGTTTGCAAAATACACATACGCCGTCTGAACATGCCGCACATATGTGAGGCTGGCAGTGAGTGTTATATGACTGTCCAAGAACACAAAAACTGATGAACAATTTGTGGCTTAGTCATTTTGCTCATGAATGTATTTCATCTGACACACAGACTTTTTAAGAGTTTTGGCAGATTAAAATTCTACATTTCCTTCAAAAATGACACACAGTTGGCTTATCACTCAAATATTATCAATGGGAAAAACAATTACATTGAATATGATTTAGTTTGAGGTCAATGAATCAGATGGAGGAGCACCACCTCACAACACCGTTTACATAATTGGTGAGATTGCCATTCTAGAAGACTTGCCAACATCGCCGATAAACTTAGTGCCAGGAGTTTAAAACTGAATGCAATTTGCAAAAATGTAGTGAAGAAACAGGATACTGAATATTCATAGTTAACTCATAAACAGTTTACTGGCCGGTCACTAATGTGACCAATGGAATGAGTTTGAGATAAGTTTGTTTATGAATATGCATGAGGTGTACGCAGCAGTATCAGACACATGCTTGGCAACAAGAGCCCCTCCTCAAACAAATAACGTTCCCCCTCAAAAACAAAGAATGACAACAAAATAGCAGTGAGAACAGCATTTGAACACAAACATGTTGCTAGCCAAGGCCATTCTTTTGTTAACCACTTCATGCCTTCAATTTTTCAAAATTCATCATTTCATTTAACGGACGTTTATAGCCGCACGAAGTAATCTTTAGGCACTACTCTAAGTTGGCAGGTGATCTTCATTGACGCCCAAGTATTTCAGCCAGGCCTGCAGCCTTGTAAAAAGAGCCCAAATTGTGCGGTGTTATGTAACTTTCTTTTGTTCACGAACCTGGCTCAGTGCACTGCTGACCTCTTTTCAATAGGGGCCAGATTAGCGTGCAGCGGTGCTGTGTGGCTCATCGCCGTGGTGGTGGAGTGCTTTTGTTCCTGGTGGTCATCCGCTCGCTATAAATGCCCCAAACCCTCGTATACGGTTTCAAAACAAGGCTGGATTATCGCCACTTTTGAGAGTGAAAAATGTTGATAATGCCCAGCAGCTTGGTCTTTTGTTCGGAGTACGGTCTTTTGTTACAGGGCCCTGTTTCCTTTGTCCGAGTTCGGAGACCCCGGCCACGCATATAAACCATACGGCTCCGATTCTGGAGTCCCCGGCAGGAAGTGGTTAATAATCAAACTGCCTATTATGAATGAAAAGAAACCAAAGGCATGAGAGCGTGGAGTTACCTTCCTCAGGTCCAAGTATTCCCGCAGGAACTCCTCGATGGGTGTTCTTCCTTCTAGAAACGCCTCCGCTTTGGCCTCCGATTCATGCTCTGCCTCTGCTGCAGCCACCCTCAGATGATCCAGGGTCAGTTGCAGGTCAAATTGCTGAAGCAAACAAATCACCATTTGTCAGGAGTAGAACAACCAAAGCTTGGAAAAATTTTTTCAAAGGAGTGTTTTTGAAAATGTAACAGGAAATCAAAAAAGAAACGCTGTTTAACCTTACGAAAATCTTACTTTGACATTTTTCTAATATTTTTGAGTGCAATGTCATTTGCAATATGAAAAATTCTCATTTGATCTGTAGTCAATATTAAATTTGATGGACCTCAAAGGACTATCTGAATATTTGTGTAAGCCAGGTGCTGCATACTTTCACTGGAAAAAATACCCACAACGCAGAAATGTTACTTAAAGGTGGAAAAACAGTGCAAACTTTACCAGCATTTTTATTAGCCTTGTATATCTTTTGAAAAACAAAAATGAGCACAGGCTTTAGGGAGGTTTGTCAGAATTTGCCTCATAATAGCGGAAACTCCTTTAAAGCTTGTCTACGAACATACTTGGCACAAATATGCTGCTTGACAAAAAAGATCTGCAGGTTACTTTACTTTATGTACACTGACAGGCTGGAATGAAGTCTACACTGCTTTCTTAAAAAACAATACCTCATTGATGCGCTGCTGGTTGAGACAGTTCATGTCAAAGCGATTCCTGAAATTATTCCTCTCCTTTAGTCTCTCTCTCAAGCTGTTTTTCAGTTTCTCCAGTTCAGGCTGGTAACTAACGTTGGCCTCTGGAGGGAGACACATGTCAAATGACTCAATCTTACCATGAAGTGCCAATAAACCTGTTCACCAGGATGTAACAATGTCAGACTTCACCCAAATCTCTTGGTTGTGGTTGGAAACAAGCCATTAAGCATGGCAGCTGTTTCCTATTAGGCAAGTCCAAGCACTGAATGACTATACTTAATTAAAGTTTGACTGTGGTCAGCTGGATGTTTGATGGATTATCTAGTCGGCCATTTGGAAACAGGCCCTTTGGTATGTTGCATTGCTGGTTATTTGTAGCCTTTTTAGGAATCTAATTTACAGGGAACCACCGAAACAAGAGTAACTATACAAGACAAGAGAGACCATGAATGCAACAAGAGATATAATCAAGAGCAAAACACAAGAGACAGGGGGATGTCAGGAAAAGGTTTAACTAGTGTCATTTGAGTGGGATGGCATTGCACATGCACATTGGTAAGAAGCAATTCAACAATGGATCAACTACAGTTACGGCCCAAACTTGCCCGGTGTTGTATTGCAATCTGGGTATCAGAACCCAAGGCCAAGGTTGGATTCGAGTCCATCTCAAGTCACAATTCTGGTGATCCAATTTTGGTGATATTGGCAAGGACTAGGACTCTGACAAGTGACTGAACAGAGATCACATGTCTCGAGATTTGTGACTCAACAAGTGACTCAGGACTGAGACTCAAAGAAAGCGACTTGAAACTCGTACTCAAAGCCAAGCTGGGGATACTCACGAGCCAGCTGCTCACAATGGTCATATAGCTCATGCCTCTCGGCAAGCAATCGCTTGACCTGGGGCAGGTCGCTGAACACCTTCAACTCCGCCTCCTCGCTGTCCAGAATCTCCTGCAGCTGGGCGGAGCTCAGACCTGACAAGTTGTCCTTCAAGGAGAGGGGGATAGAGGGCATGCTGTACCGCCTCTGCAAAACAGATTTCATTCCCATCACATCCAAAAGCAACTTAAATCAAAAACTATGGTCAACCGCAGTCGAACGCCAAGTGAATGCGCACTTTTCTGCACTGGTTGCACTGGCAGAGATGCCAACACTGCAACTCGAAAAATAGTAATTTGCCACGAGCCACCCGCCTCTGGCAAAAATTCTTTATGTGTAAAAATTACGCCTAAATTGTAATGTTAGCATCTCTGCACTGGTGAGTTTAGTAAACTGTTTAGAACCAGCCTATTGGGCAATGCTGGTGATCAATACCTGTCTGTTTCAACATGAACAGCAAGGAGCAAAGACTTGTCATGCTGATGTTTGACCACAATTTGACGAAAAATATTCAAACTCTGATATAGGTACATGGGCAAAAGGTACGCAGTAAACCAAGCAAAGCCCACAATGGTTGGTGACTACATTTGCCCCCTGGGATTTCATTGGTTGAAAACCAAGAAATAAGAAGCCTCTGTTGACTGACCCACAAGCTACAAATATGTCCTCCATGCAAGTTCTCAAGAAGGTGCTCGCTAGCGTACTAACTATGCCGATAAAACAAGCTAGTACCTAGTCTTCTCCTCCTGATAAATTTCAGACTTGTTGTGAGTGAACCAGCCTTTAAGGGTACAGCTCCTGGTATTTCATGTATTTACAAATGCTAACATTAGACTGAATTTCTCACTGATTTGATGTTTTCCATCATTATTTAGTTCACCAAAACATAATAAGAAACACAATTAACATGAATTTGATTATCACAGGACGGTGTATGAGAAGTCAAGATACTGTCTTACCGTGCCCATGCTGTCTAATCCTGACGGCAAGACCACTGGCTCAATGCCAAGATGGTCTAGAGTGTCAATGCGGTTAGGAATTCTTCCTTCAGTATTCTGGGTAGCTGATGCTGTAGCACCTACATGCAAGTGACAATGTGATATTTGTTAAGAATGGTCTGAGGCCACCCGTAGTCACTAGGAACAGTAGAAACAAGACAGTAGCTAATGGTTGAATTACTGTCACTGGAACAATTTCATCTGAACTTGCTCAAGATAATAAAAAAAACAGACAGCACATGTTTTGTACCCCAATGATATGATCACAGTATGCAGTACCGTCTAAAATATGAGACAATGGAAAAGAAAACGGAAACTCGTAGAAACTATTTTCTAAGGAGTAAAACATGCTATGCCCTTTTGCCTAAGAGAAAAAACTTCAAATCATCAGACCATCCTAACAATAATAAACTCAGTTTGAATACTCCAGTAAATGGACTGTCAATCAACAGGTTTTTCAACAACTTCACCACTTTTGCTTTGATACTTTTTAGAACTCAAAGAGCACCCCACAATTCTGAGAATTCAAAGAAGAAATTCTGCATACAAATTCTAATGATGACACACAAAAGGAATGACTTCAAAACTGAGATGCCATTACAAGATATATGAATTTATTTCTTGGAAAACCACATTGCAACAATATTTTAGATTCTTTGTTATTTCAATAACGTCAAGCGTGGTTAGGGTGAAAGCGAAGCTACACTCGCAAGTTTACACTATTTCATTGGATCTAACAAAGCATCTCTGAAACACCAAAGGAAATATTTCGCTGGCCACTTGCCCGCTAAGTGTCCTTGTGGGCTTACAGTGTGCACCAGTACTTTCCCCAGAGCTCCTATCCAACTCAGGCAAAGTCAGCACCTCATGCCTCAGCACAAGGACCAACTGAGACCAAATCAAAATTGCTAATCACTAAAAAGTTTGCTACAAAAGTTTCAAAACTCACTTTTACTTAGCAATAATTAGTATTAATTTAGCACTGATTTTTGCTAGGTATATTCAAGAAATTGGAACTGGTCTTCCAAGTACAACCATGGGTAAAATTAGTCGGTGACCATTTGTCTACCACTGGTTGGGTACCAGGCGAAATTGACCAGTGATTGGCTGGCAGTCATTAACCTACATGTAAACCATTACTTTTCAAAAACAGTTCTGTGCATTCAGTGATTTAGCTGTTTGAGAATCTCTTGCGGTAAGCATATCAAAGGTCCCCCTACCTGGTAGATGAGAGCTCTGGGTGGCCACTAATGACGCTGCCGGCGGCTGGTTCCCCTGCAGCAGGATACCAGTCTGGGGTAGACTGGCAGGTGTGGATCTGTACCCGGGCGCAGGCGGCTGACTGGCTACCGGGTATTGAGAAGATGGGGACAGGGCCGTAGAGGGTGTGTAGGGTTGATACATGGTGCCTGCGTTGCTGTCAAACAAAAAAGAAATTAAGAGTAACATTTCAATTAGACCTGCAACACAATGACCTCACGCTTTATTTACATGCGTGCTTGCCTACGGCAGTGGAGTGGGGCGCAATCCATCGAGCCCTCATGGGAAAGAATAAAGATAAACAAAGCGTGACGTCAGATGCTATTCAGAAGTGTACTGTAGCTCGTTCAGAGAGAACCTTCTGAAGACAACTTTCTTTTCCTTTTTGGGGTAATGTACATGTACAAACAGCAAATTCTTTGTTTAATCACAGGATGTTTTATTTCACCACAGGTACTGTTGATCAAAAAGTAGCTAATTGACTAAGTCATTTAAGAACACCAAATACTGTTCCAAAGTTGCACATGAAATTCAACTCCTTGGACATAAAAATTCACGTCCTCAAGTTGATTCATAGGTAAAATTTCAGAGAAACAGGGGCATTTCAAACAATCCATTTCTTTCATTTTCTTCCATCTAAAATTTTATCTGTGAAAATCCCACTTGCAAACTTGTGATTTTCATATTATTTGCTCCCAGCTGAAAGACCAGAGTCCTCCATTTCCACTGACTCTTTATCAGGGTTTAGCAGTGTTGCACTCATATCCATCACAGGTCCCTGCAAATCCACCACGATCATCCAGTTTTGATCCGAGTCACAAGCTATTCATATGAGCTGTGACAATTGTCCACACTGTTTATGTCAGGTTTTGTAAGGGGTCTTGGGACTGGGCTTGTGGGGAGGGGGATCTGAGAAAGGACTTGTGATGAACTAGACAACAACACTTGACTTCTGTTACTTACACCTGCACTGGGTCTGCTGTGAACACAAACGGTTGGTTTGTCCTCATCTCTTGTATGATACTCTGAATGACGCGACCCAAGTCGGTGTGGACCCCAAACTGAAAATGTCAAGGGACAAATGAGGTGTGGTCAGTGAAGTATAACACACTGTACCATGCCAGTACTGAAGGTAGCACAAGTGACTCAGACTCAAACTTCTGTGTGACTCAAGCAACACTCCCAACAACTGCAACTCCGATTCAAGTCAAGGTGAACAGGAGAAAAAACCTCCTTCTCTGCCCCAGTGAGACTTGGCCTTGCCGTCAACCCCATAACTTATGAAGCTGTGACCCAGACTTGAAGCCAATGTGTCAAATTTTCACTTGTTTAACTTGATATTCCTGGGCCCTGTAGTACTGAGGATTCCTTGAATCCCCAGAAATCCAGTGTGAAGCAAACAAATGAAAGAATCTTTGTACTCCTACATGCCTTAAAATTGGGACTGCAAGCCTGATATGATCAAACAGTGGACGTCTTGAATAGCTCTAAATCAAGATAAACACTGCCACAACACCAGTAACACATTCCAACATATTTGGGGGAGTTACCGTAACTTTCTCACAATTTCCACCTCTTAGCCATTTGAACAAGTCAATATAGAGCTGTGTCCAAAAGTTGTGGCTGCAACTCAAAATAATATGTAAACCTATGGGAGCCATTAGCCAACGGTTGCAGTACCAGTGTTGTAGTTAAGACCACTTAAGACCTTCACAAGACCAGCACAAGACCCACACAAGGCCTCCAGTCTGATTTCAAGTCACAAGCTATTCAAATGAACTGCGACAAAAGCATGAATTCCTTGGTCATTGTTCACCCTGTTACTTGTGACTGGTCTAATGCATGGTCTTGTGTCTGGTCTTGTGACTGGTCTAGTGAATGGCCTTGTGTCTGGTCTTGTGTCTGGTCTTGTGTCTGGTCTTGTGATGGTCTTGTGACTGGTCTTGTGTCTGGTCTTGTGTCTGGTCTTGTGATGGTCTTGTGTCTGGTCTAAGGTCTGGTCTTGTGATNGTGATGGTCTTGTGTCTGGTCTAGTGCATGGTCTAGTGCATGGTCTTGTGATGGTCTTGTGTCTGGTCTTGTGACGGTCTTGTGACTGGTCTTGTGATGGTCTTGTTTCTGGTCTTGTGATGGTCTTGTGTCTGGTCTTGTGATGGTCTCGATTACAACACCTTGCAGTACTTCCCCACAGACAGATGCAATTCTTAGCCATAACCAACTGATTCTCACATGGCCTTGAATCACTATGAACCAGCAGGTACACAATCAATACATTATTTGTGTGTAGATTTCAGTCTTTCATGTTTGGCAAACCACAATGCAGAAAAGCTACCAGCAAACACAAACACCCACGAGTACTTTGTTAAGATGTCTGAGTTTACGACAGGAGGCACTCACATTATTCAGACCGGGGCATCCGACGACTGTCAATGTGTTGCTGACCCATGGATGCCTTAGCGGAGGTGACACCTTCACAAGAGGCTTCTCCTGAGGAAACTGGGGTGGTAAGGTTCTGCAGGCAAAAACACAAGTAGCGCAAATCGTGGGTCGTTTCAAAGAAGTTGCCTCTGACCAGCCTAAGTACATGTAGAAGTCAGTGATGGTACAAAGACATATATGGTTATGGTTTGGTGAATAAGTGAGACAGGACCCTTTTCCCCGGGTAACACCATCCCATTGGACAGACACACCATGCACGTACATGGCACAGACAACACAGAACCAACTTTAAGGTAACTGAATAATCTCTGTGTAGGTGCTGGGTGTACAGTTTGAATGGTCAACAGAGGCTCTCTTGTCTTAGTTGGTAAGGGATAATTGTACATGGGTAGGACCCCTGAGAAGAAAAGCTTGCAGGCAGTGAAAAGAGGAACACAACATGTCAAATTGAGGCATGTCAAACAGCAAGATGGGCATTTCCTATTCATGAAACGAAATGGAGTGATGAAAAAGCATGAATATAGAGGGTTACAGGAAAATCAGAGATATGAAGGAGACTGTGCTGAGAAGTTAAATTATTGAGCAATTAGTTTTCAGTAAAACATTGACAAATGGCTGCATTCAAATTTCATCATGTCAGCTCTAGATACAAGTGTTGTACCAGCAACTGCGCATTGAAAGAATTGGAATATTGACAAGAATATAATGTAAAATAAGTGCTCTAGAATATGTCATTGCCAAGTTTTCAGTAACTGAGTACCTTTTTTAGGGCTAGCAGTTCTGTGAACTGAATCTGCTTGCCCTGAAGAAGGTACTCAGTTATCAAAAGCTCGGCAATCACATATTTCAGAGCACTGATTTGATATTAAATTCTTGTCAATATTCTGATCAGGGTGCTACGCAGCCCTTCCATATTTCTTTGAAATAATTGGACTTGCTTTTCTGCATAATTCCTGGTTTTCTGCTTTTACGAGTGGCTCTTGTGATGTACCGTCATCATTCAGATCGTGTGCGCAGATTTACATAAAACATACTGTATGCTACAAATGGAGTCTCTAAGGCGCGAAGACAAAGGAACTAAAACATGGTCAAGAGGCTTGCTCAGGGACAAAGCAAAGTGTGCGTAGGTAGTGAGGTACTTACATGTGCAGTGCAATGTTAGTTGCACCTGTACCAGTGCTGAATGTGACCCTGTACTCAACGTCCCTCTTCAATTCGACCACGCTGAAATTAAAACAAAAACAAAAAACATGAAACCGTCAATGAGGACCATGTGGCAGCTGCATGTACATTACAGTACATGAAGTTCACAATCACAGCTCAGAAATTCAAGTGAAAGAGAGCTTCAGCGAAGATTCTGAAACAAAGTTAGCACTGACAAGCATTGGATTGAGTTTTGGATACAGCAGCAAAATACTGTATCCAAGTTAACTGGCCATGGTAGGAAGGAACATATGTAAACAAGAAGTGGCTAGTAGCTTGTACACACATGTACATCTACATAAGCAAATATGTACATTGCAAGTTACTGTCACACTTTAGTTCTAAGATATGGATTAATATGGTTAAATGACATTCAGGAAAATGAGGCTGGAATAGGCACACATCCATGCAGTATTTTAGTTTCCCTTTGAGAGCTCTCTCTCTCTCTGGCTGTCTCTCTGCAGTCAAAAAAACAAATCTGTGAAATGTACTGACTGTGAACCTATTTTCCAGGGGAAATCTATTGGCTCAGAATGGAAAACACTAGAGGTCCTTTGAGGTCACAGCTCAAGAGACAAAAATGTGGACAGTGAATCCATCTTGGTTCAACAGTGATAAAAAAAATTACTTCTTCAAATGAATGCCATACTGGGGCAAGTAGAGTCAAAACAAGTTTACAATAAAGGAAATGAATTTGCCACTAAAGTTGTGCAAACCTGATATGAAGCAAAAACACACCCGACCTCAAAAATGCCTATTTGGTCTTTCCACCATTTAAGTTGGCTTGGTTTAACTTTTAAGTCGGCAGTTTTGGGTCAAGTTGGCTCAGTTAAGCCATCTTGGTCAAAAACTAAAAAAAGAAAAGAAAAATAAAGTTGAGACATTATAGGGTGAATTATCATTCCATAGCCACAGTCTTAGGTATGACCAAGATAAATGAGTTTTTCCTCAAAGTTATTAATTACATGATGTACTTCACTCCAACTAGGACAGAAAATAGATACATGTACATTTGCAGCATTCTTGGGATATTTCCAAAAGAATTCATACAACATGGATAAGTTCAGGCACAAAAATCAGACAAATTACAATGTACATGACAATTTCTGAGCCAGATATTCAGTTCGGGTAGGTCAAGTTGGATTTACTAAGATTGGTTTTGGGTTCGATTCAGTTTACTTGTATCATGTTTAGGGTCGATTCAGTTTACTTGTATCATGTTTAGGGTCGATTCAGTTAACTTGTATCATGTTTAGGGTCGATTCAGATTACTTGTATTATGTTTAGGGTCGATTCAGTTTACTTGTATCATGTTTAGGGTCGATTCAATTTACTTGTATCATGTTTAGGGTCGATTCAGTTAACTTGTATCATGTTTAGGGTCGATTCAGATTACTTGTATTATGTTTAGGGTCGATTCAGTTTACTTGTATCATGTTTAGGGTCGATTCAATTTACTTGTATCATGTTTAGGGTTGGTTTGGCTTTTAACAGGCCAAAACGACCAAATGTACAACATAATTCACCAATTCCAACACTACTTCACTTCTGAGGAGTTAGAAAGTAAGGTAAATTAACGTGGCACTCTACTGCATTGACCCTTTGGACTAACAAGTGGGCTGCATCTGAAGACTTGGCTGTGGCCACCTGTAACACACATGTCAATGAGAGGCCATTGTAGCCATTGGACGGTGACTTCCATAACCACAAGTGCTATTGCTAGCCCCCACCAGGACTTTCAAGCACAGTCCTAGACTTACTTTGGATTGAGATTTTTGAGTGACTCGATCTGTTTGCTGCGCTGTTCCTGCAATGGGGTGATAGGGGGCAGGTTGCTCTTGGACGACCCAAACAACCACGACATCCTCACCACTTCACAACTTGACCCCTCACAGGAGAATACTGCAGGGATCCTGTGACAAGGCCAACACAATTTCTGTGTTTTTGGAGAGGTTCACTGTAAAAAAAAAAAAGAGGCATAGTGCTGACATTCCAACTTTTCAGAAACTAATTCTTTTGAACACTTTCTCAACTCCTAAAGCCAGATTTACAACAATTTTGTGAAGTCAAAGTCAGGAAAAACTATATTTCAATCTTTTTCTTACAAAATAAAAATTCGGAGAAAATGTGATCAAAAATAGCTGTTCTTGGTTTCAAATGAATGGGCGTGTCTTTATGTATAAGATTATGTAATTTTCATTTTGTCCAACCAAACTTTGCAAAATGTAGCTACCAAACATAAGCAGATGTGATATTATCAAACCAAGCTGGTCGCTCACACTGCCCGGCACAATATCACAGTTCATTGTGAAAGTACACCCAAGATTTCATGATTTCGAAAAATGAAATCGTCAAAAAGAGAAGTATGATTAAAAAGTCAATCTTTCCAGTAAATTTGGGATCTTTTTTTTCCCCCTGTCCCTGTAACATCTGGTGGTTGATTTTGTAAGTTTAAAACACACTATTTCACATCAAGAGTGATCAGGTAACGCAACAAGTTTTAAATCAATTTCAATGATACACCAATACCCTCCAAAGGAGCCATGAACCCTACAACACTACCACCACAACCAATACCCATTGTCAAATTACACAGGTCAACTGCTGTAGCAGAGACAGCAGGATATCACACGCACACCCCAAATTTATAAATTGACCCCTATTTAAAATTCAAGGAAATGTTAGGTCAATATGGCAAGGCACTTTAATTTTACACGTAGTTTTACACAAAAACTGAAAGAATTCCACATATGTAGACGCCACTAATTTCTACCTGCGGTGAGTGACCTATCTGAAAGTATTAAAATATCCTACAAAGTGTCGCTTCAGTGTAGGGGGTAAAGTTCATGAGTTTTAAAATTTGTTTTTAAATAGTGGAACACAAAGGGTATCGATTGGGTCAACACTGTCCAAGAGCCTGCCAGACTCTCCAGTTTTGGCATTCCACAGGGATCTGTTCTTGGACCTGTTTTGTTTTCTTGTACATGGATCCGCCGGAGGGTATTATAAGTCGTCATAGTTTAAGTTCTGTTATTTATGCAGATGATTGTCAGGTTAAAATTTCTTGTGGTTCCCGCGCTAACTATTCTTGAGTTACACGTACTGAATCTGTCATAGACAAGATTTGTTGTTGGATGTGAGCAAACATGCTCGCACTGAATGACAGCAAGAATGAAGTATTATGGTTCTCGTCTCATTTTAAGGATTCAAGTGTCTTGCAAGTGGTGACTGAAGTGCGGGTTGGAGATGTTCATATACCAGCCTCAAATGCACTTCGTGACCTTGGGGTAATACTAGACTTGGCTGGAACTACATGTATGAATGCTCTATTATTCTAGTGTGTGTAAGGTTGCATCTCATTCATTATGGTCGATCGGTACACTGAGAAAATATCCGGATCAATCAAGTACTGAGAAACTTATATATGCATTTGTTACTTTTAGGTTGGACTAGTGCAACAGTTTATATTTGGGTTTATACGATTATCAGTTCCAAAAATTCCAATATGTTCAAAATGCTGTGGCCAGACTGGTCATCAGGAGAAAGATGGATTGCTGTACAGATATGGCACACATTCTTCAGGAATTACACTGGCTTCTGGTTGAAGGTAGTTGAATTTAAAGACCTGTGTGTTATGTTTAAACTTATTTATCACAGCGAGTGGGCACCTCAGTGCCTTACAGAATTGATATCTGTGTACCAGTCAAATATTTGCACTAAAAGCTGTGATGGAGTTAAGCTTTGTTATCCTAATGTTCGTCAAACTCCTAGCAAGGCGTATGGTAATCACGCCTTTTCTATCTATGCACCAGGGATGTGGAACAAACTCCCGGTATATTTGAGAAGCACTGGTGATTATGGGAGTTTTAAGAAGCAACTTAAGACATTTCTTTTAAGGAAATATAATTCTTAAATATTAATTAATCAGACATTCTAAATAATTATATGAATGTGGAAATTAACAATGTGATTGTGATTTTGAATTGAATTGACGTATTTAAGATATTATTTTTGTAAGGTATTATCTTATGTTTAGGCCTATATTCATTAATTGATATTTGGTTCTTATTGCATGTTTACGATTCTCTTGTAAAGTGTTTTGAGATTTTTATAATGTAAGATGCTGTATCAAGAATAAATTATTAAAAGTCCAATTTAGCAGTGAAAATATTGAACCATTCACTTAGAAAACACTTCGAATTATTCAGACCAGTCTCTTGAGGTTTGTGTACCCCTAGGGCATCAAGTGGCATCCGTACATACATGTATGGAATTTTTTCCACTAACACAGTGACAAAATTTCACGTGCTACCAGGGTGGAATTCGCCTGTCTCGTTGACCTCCCCATAGTCAATGCCATTATGACCATCTGATCATGATCAGCGTACTGTGTACATGACTGGGTGTATACATGTACTCCATTCCTATAGACATATGTGTATCATCATAATAACTCTATTATCGCGGTGTTGGATATTTTGCATTTTGCGTTGCCAATAAAACCCACAGTTGGCAATATTATTCACACTGATAATTAATAACTTAGGGTGTTCAGATTAGTTTTTTTAAGAACAGAATAAAAAATGTTGCAACTTTTGGTATGTTTCAATAATTTTCAATTAAAAAGTGCAATTTTTCGGGACTTTAAGTTTCCTTCATGTTTAGATGTCTACCAGATATCCATTGCTGGGTTCCTACAATTAAATGTATATGTCACAGCTGTAATGGCCCAATTTGTCTAAAGGCACATTTTCACAGTGGAACTGGCCAAAATAAGGACTTCTGCTTTGCAAGCACAAAGTGTACAGTGTACATGCCCCCAATCTCCATAATAATAGACTTGTACCAATCATATTTTTATCGTTCGGGGTAATTAGTAGCAGTAATTAAGATCAGCTTTAGGTGTTTCTGTTCAAATTGTGAACCCGGAATTTACCTGCTGAAAACATTTCTGAGAGTGGGGTTGACATTTTATTGTTGCTATGCACATGAACAAAAATGAATCAGCAAAGAAGAGAAAACTTAGTCCAGGAAAATCTACAAAAACACAGGGCTTTTTGTATACAAACCAATGTAACATTGAGGATTCTTCATGAGATGACGTCACAATTTTGCTCATGAATATGGAAATACTCTTTAGCATAAAAGCAGAAAAGGCATTAAAACACACTTTGAAATAATGAAACAGAAGTTGAAAATAAGGTTAACTGAGGCAGAAAGGTGCATTTTAGAGGTTTGTAATCACAAAATCCTATTGTAGCCACCCTTTCAGATTAATTAAAAGAAAAATAGAATGAAACATGCTGCAACTTTCAGTACGTTTGAAAAAACTGTAATAACAAATATTTTCTGCCCTACCTCTAGAATTTTCCTCCACCAAGTGTGTCAGTACCTACATATATACACGTGCATATACTGTTTATGCTTGCTCAATCTTCTAACACTGCCCTACCCATGGTTTCCATTGATAGGTTCCTGTATGTTACTGCCACAATGGTCAAATGTGTCTCAAGACACATATGAACTGCAAAAGTGCCCAATGTCAAAATAATGACTTGGCTGAAAAACTGCTTGCATGTGTAAAGCGCCTCCCCAATCTCCATTACAATAAACTTAATTGTATCAATCATATTTTTACCCTCTGGGGCAATTGGTACATAAGCCAATAATTACAACAGCATTATTGTCTCAGATTTGTTGCATTGTTGATACAACTTGAAGAGATTTTCAAAGGATATGTAGAATTTCTAACATCAATCATGAATATTAAAGTAGTTCAGATCTAATGCGACGGCCATAATTCTTGGGAAATTAGACCTTAGAAAGCAGAAATCTGTAAGGATTGTTTTAGACATCGATAAATAAATTGGTCGGTCAAGAGAATGCAATTTGCGAGACCCGCATACTTATTTTCCTTCTGCAAACACCAATTTAAATCATACGATGAATGTCACAGTTGTAGCTGCATTAAAAATTGAGGTAAAAATTCCTGAAGTTATTCCTTGTAAAATTAATGAGTGTAAGGTGGAGCAGCACAATTATTCCTATCTCATTCTTAGAGAAGGACATATTTAAGTAGAAGACTAAAAAACGGAGTCAGTTACAAGTAAAATACAACATTTATTACAATATAAGTCTAGTTTGTTTCCTCTGAATGCATTATCCATTCTTTCTATATTATTTATAAACACAGTGCTTTTTTAAAGGCCCGTAGAAGCCATTTCGGAAAGAGTATACACGTTTGGACAACACTTGATGCCTCTGTGCACAAACCTATGAAAGTATGAGACTTGTCTGAAAAAAACTGTTTCCTAAGTAAATGCTTCAAAATTTTCTCAGCTAATTTTCACTTTTTAGGACATGTTATCCCCAAGATCACTTTCTGATGGCTGTTATAATTTTTAAGGGAAACTGAGAGTTGTCCGTATCTGAAGCTCTTTCCACCATTTCTTGATATCAACCACCTCCACTTGTATACGATCATGACAGTGCACAGACGTAACATTAGATCATACACAAATATTCTGTGCTATCAAAAAGAAAAATAAATTGACCCACAAACAAAATCTTCTATATGAAGTTAACAAGTAAGAGTTAAACAACAGCAATCTTTATCGCCAATAGGGAAAGATAATAACTACCGCGGTTCATAGAGTAACCCATCCTACTTAACGAGTAGGCATGTTAGGCAATATGTTTGTCAGTCCGGTTCATGGCATGTGCATGATGGAGGTACCCCTAGAACTGTGGGGTCCGACGTCCGCCCCGCTCCCATGTTCTGGGGTATGATGGAAGTAGGAAAAGACAAGAAAGACCGACAGACGTCAGTCATGTCAGTTTGTACATGGGAAAAGAAATACTGCGCTTGGCACATGTCATCATGGTCATGGGTTCATTAACTTCCAAAAGTAAATATTAGGAAAGTGTTCCATATACAGATGCCACTTGACACCCTGTGCACAAACCCTACATTATACATAACATATATATAAAAATAAGACTGGTCTCAACAATTCTAAATCATGATTTTAAGTAGGACCTAAACGACTTGGATTTTCTCTCCTGAATGGAACTTTTCTTGACACATTTTTGCTTTCTGAAATAGGGCCTAGGCTAGCCCCACTACTGTGGCACGGACTCTCACTCCCGATCCATCCCTAGTGGGGCTAGGCCTAGTCTGACAGCTATGCTAAATCATGCCACTGTACTGTAGTGGTACTGTAGGGAATAAATTCTGGCGTCCGTACGTATATGGGACTCTTCCTCCAATTTACCTGTGCTGTTGGCTTTTCTTCGGTGGCAACTAAATCAGCATAAATCTGTATCAATTTGTAGTGATCAACGTACGCCTGCGCCTATGATCGAAAGATACATGTACATGTACATGTATGATGATGTATATGTACACACAATACTACTAATAATCATGACAGGAATGACTGCGCAGCGCGGTATTACGGTACGTGGATGATGAATTGGATTATTTTTAGAAACGATATCGCGCGCCCTCTTGTGACGTACGTTTGATGACAAAAGTCCTTCCCACCATGCACCTGGAACTGCTGCTGCCAGCTGAGAAATCGAGAAATTTTATGTTCTGCGAATACTACCCCAAATTGGATTAAACTTCATCGTAGGTTATCCAGTTTTTGACCTACTTATCTTCACAGTGCAGTCCAATAGAGGTGAGATATTTTTTGTGCCATTCTGTCGTCACACATTTTCGTCCAAAGCAGATAGGCGTAGGTTATGATTTGCAACGTGAAGTCCAATCCATTAATCTCGGCCTGCGTGGCCTGCCAAAGGAAAGTCTGAAAGTGCGGATTGAAAGTGCGTCGTCCAAGTCGCCCCATACAATCTCAGTAACAGTTCGCCCCCACTGAACGGGCTGGGCGGGTTGTTTGTTTTCACACGGATCTGGATCTCGATGAGTGATCTCGAAGCTGGTTCGCGAGGGTGTTAACCACTTCCTGCCGGGGCAGTTATCAATGTTGATGATGCTAGGCCGGGATATTTATCATTTTTTTCTGTTTTCAAAATTCTTTAAAAATTCCTATCTTCATTTACTGGACACTTACAAACACGTGAAGGACTGTCTGGTGGCCCCTCTAGCCTAACAGACAAAATCTATTGATGCCCGAGTATTTCAGCCAGGCCTGCAGCCTTGTAAAAAGAGCCCAGATTGTGCGGTATTATATAGCCCTCTTTTGTTCACGAACCTGGCTCAGTGCGATGCTGACCTCTTTTCAGTAGGGGCCAGATTAGCGTGCAGCAGTGCTGTGTGGCTCATCGCTGCAGTGGTAGAGCACTTTTGTCCCCAGTGGTAATCCGCTCGCTCTAAATGTCCCAAACCGTGGTATACTGTTTCAAAACAAGGCTGGATTATCTCCACTTTTGAGAGTGAAAAAATGTCTGTAATGCCCAGCAGCCTGGTCTTTTGTTGCAAGTACGGTCTTTTGTTACAAGGCCCTGTTCCCTTTGTCTGAGTTCGGAGACCCCGGCCACGCATATAAAGCACACATATCTGGATCCGGAATCCCCGGCAGGAAGTGGTTAATTGGGCGTGTTTGATTCTGATGGCAAACCAACAACGTCAGATCCTTGTGATTGTGATCCCAATCCGTGTGAAACAAACAGGGCCTGGTTTTACGGATAGAGCTATTGTGAGAAAGGATAATCACTGATAATAATGAAACAAGTGTACTTTGGTTTTGTTGTCCTTTTTTGGTTAGGCCCTAGTGCCATCATATATACCCCTATCGGGGGAGGGGGTCTGAATGTATTGATCCTTGGTGGGCATAATGGGCAGTTCCGACAATGTACATGACATAATGGGACAGTGACCTTTTTTAAAGCTTTAGTATTTCGCGGCATTTACCTGACAATGATCGATCAAGATTACATTGATCATCATGGCCACAATAATGGTGGCAGTACCTTAGAATTAAATACTGTACATGCAATATTTGACCATGGACCAGTTTCCACTTTGTGTTCATGGTCAGCTGATAGGACTGTGTTTGCCATTTTGCAGGCACAGCACTGACATGACAAAACATTAGCAGTGAGTGTTTTTAAACTGCTTTATCTCTCAACTAAAAATTGTACTTTTGGTGTTTTGTAGTTTTGTTAACGGCTAAATGTGGCTAATATATTTATAATTTTTTTCATGCTTTTCTTGTTATTTGAATTACAGCGGATTATAACATTAGTAAACGGTTATCGTCAAGAGTTTGTAGCCATGCTCTAGTGTCAGGCCCTCTTCATCCATGTAGAGTAGCCACCAAGACTAACAAAACAGCATGCCAGGCCAGACAAATGAGCCAACTATTGTAGACGTGTGGGAGGCCAACCTAGAAGAGACTTTCCGGAAGATTAGGGTCATAGTGCAAAAGTATAACTATGTTGCCATGGTAAGTCCAGCATCATTTTATGTGTTTATTGATTTTGGGGGGAGGGCCTAAGATAAAAACTACCTTGTTTATAATTTTATTGCTCATCATGGAAGCATTCTGTAGTCAGTTTAAACCTCCAACTCATAGCTTTTCTAAGCTCTCCTTTCTTTCACTACCAGAGTGTTGTCACACTGCTGCCTAAATCTAGCCAGAAATATGATTAAGAGTTTATCCGAGAATGGGTTGTGGTAAAGCCCAGTGAGTGATCTGAAAGTCTTAAGTGGGATATGCAAACCAAAAGGAGATCTGCAAGAGAAATGTGTGACGAGGAGCTTGTAGTCAAGTGCTAGAAAAAGGTAAATTTTGAACCTCTTCTCATGCAGGATACAGAGTTTCCAGGTGTGGTGGCCCGCCCCATCGGGGAGTTCCGCAGCAACTCCGAGTACCAATACCAGCTACATCGGTGCAACGTGGATTTGCTCAAGATCATCCAGCTGGGCTTGACCTTCTCAGACGAGTTTAGCAACTTCCCCCCGGGGGCAGCGACCTTCCAGTTCAACTTCAAGTTCAATCTTACGTAAGAGTCTGATGATAAAATAATTGACCCAGGAATGGCCCCTCAAACTAGGCAGCCCTGAAGGAAGCTGCAAAGGGTGCTGGAAGTCACTTAAAGCTTAGTTACAAAAACCTTTTGTAACTTAGGGCTAAGTTTAATTAATAATTGAAATTATCACAAATGATATTGTGTGAATATTTGCTTGTAGAAATCCCCGTTATTGCAAGGTCCTTTGGACTTCACAAATTACCTGTATCATCAGGAATGGAAAACAAAGTTTACAAAGACTTATGACCTGAAATTTTTTCAAAAGCATGATTCTTTATTGAAGGTACTCTTCTAAGTGGGATTTGATTTCATTTCAACTCTTCCTAAAACCAAAGTCTTCCAAGTGTAGGGCTTTTAAACTGATATACGGCCACTAGAGTAGTTGAGGTCTGTAACATGTGTAAAGCCCCCAGAACAAAGCTTTGTTAACTTTATTACCTTCTCACCACTCAGTGAGGACATGTATGCCCAGGATTCCATCGACCTTCTAACCAACTCGGGCATCCAGTTCAAGAAGCATGACGAGGAAGGAGTGGATGTCATGCACTTTGCCGAGCTGCTCATGACCTCGGGAGTCATCCTCAACGACAACGTCCGGTGGATCACCTTCCACAGGTCAGCCCATGCTCTCCGGCCTGGCCTTTCTGCATCTTCATTCCTTGACCCATGTCTTCTTGAGATCATTTGGAGACATCTCCATAATGCAACATCAAATAAATGTACCACACCTACAATGCATGTACATTGTGGTGGTGAGTGTACTGCCTTGAGCACAAAATTACTGCTGTCGTCATAGCTGTAATATGTTATAACATGTCCCTCAATCTGACAAATAGCAGCCAGTTCACATTACCAAGTTCAGTATTGAACATGAATGCAAATTGGATTCATGGAGCTTTTGGAACAGGTGAAGTACATTCAACATATGTAAATTTGCAGAATAATTGTCATGACCTCATAGCTTTGTTTTAACTTCATATATATCTGTGTGCTTCAATGTTTCCATGCTGTCTAAATTTAGCCAGTAGAGAAGAATGACTAGAATTTTAATATTTTACCCGGTGTTGGAAATACTGTATGGTAAACACAGTATAGCTTGATTAACCCTGCTAGACCTAGCAAGCGTTACAGATAGAAAAGTTTAAATGCACTTTGTGCTACTGGATGATCAATAGCAGCAGAAAAAGACTGCCCATGTTGAGAGAGTGGGAGCTAGTCTGTTGGATGTTGTGGTGGCTGCCAACTATAGATTCCCAGGCTGTTTGACCTTGAGGAGAGTCACCCTGTGGGATTTGGTTACGCTGGGCAGGCAAGCCACTTGCCACTTTGACACATAAAGCAGAATGTTCTGTCTAGCAGGGTTTCTAGCCAAAACATTGTGGATGGTCAGGATTAATCGATCTGAGTTCAAATTTTTTTCAATCCTTTTCTTTGACCTTCTCTGAATGTTGCAGTGGGTACGACTTCTCGTACCTCCTGAAGGTGCTGACGGTCTCCCACCTGCCGTCTGAAGAGACGGAGTTCTTTGAAGTCCTGCGCATCTACTTCCCCCGCATCTACGACGTCAAATACCTGATGAAGAGCTGCAAGGACCTCAAGGGAGGACTGCAGGAGGTGGCTGACTTCTTGCAGGTGAGTGTGAAGGGGGGAGAGAGAGGGAATCAGGGGATGGGGATCAGGGGATGAGGATCAGGGGATGGACGACAGGAATGGTTTGGAATCTTAGGGTTGTTGGTCTTCATGATCATCCTAAATTGAGAAAAGCCGACATCCAGTTGAATTTTGTTTGTTTTCGTTAAGAATGCTTGCTTCTACAGATTTGAGAATTGAAAATGCCTGAATCTAAGAACCAAATGATGAGCAAGGTGTTTGAGGTCTGTTTTGTGGTAGTATTGTATGCATTGAGTTGACTAGTGTGGCTAATATTGGAGAAACTTCGGTCCACAGGTTCACTCCATTGGTGGATTGACCTTGTGTTCTTCCAGTTTCTATATATGTACATTTCCATGGGAAGTATGCCAAGGCAGAGAGGCATGAAAAGAAATTGTCATTCATATATTTGCAGCTTTGCTGGAAAAGCACAGGAATTCAATATTGCAATACTATCCTTTAAGACTTTTAATAAAAATTCATACACTTAGTCAGGGTCACACCCAATCGTAACCATTCTTTGGTGAAAATGTTAGTGAATAAAATTGCTGTGTATTCGTCCTCTCGCAGATCCAGAGGGTGGGGCCGCAGCACCAAGCTGGCAGTGACAGCCTCCTGACGCAACTTGCCTTCTTTAAGATGAGGGAGGTAAGACACTGGTCGTTGTTTCTTTGGGTCACATCACTTCAGGAAGTTGCCCCACAGTTAGAAGTGGAAGGAGTGACTGTGGTGGTTTGTCCCATTCCTACGTGATACAGAGAGGAACAAAGGGAATGGTCAGAGTAGTTGGCAAGTGATTCACACTTGCAGTTGTTGTGTGGCAAAGGTCATATCCATCTGTTGACACTCCCTGGCAGTATTCAATTTGCACTCACTAGCAAGGCTTTAGCAGTGTTTTCTCAAACCCATGCTCATATGTGATGTTGTTTACTGTGAATAGTGATGGCTTTCAAAAAGTGTTGAGTGGATTTCTGTGCACATGCACGAATATGTGGGTTACCCACATGTGAACAGTGGAACGTGGATTATCACAAGACAATTACGCAGAATTCTACTACAAAAGTTTAAACATTTGTTTCTAGAAGGTAAATGCATCTTTACACAGAGGGCTTCTCATCCTGTGTCTCGAAAACTGCATTCCATTTTCATTCGATATCACCCACCTTTCTCCCTTACTTTGCCCACTTTTCAGAGCTACTTTGAAGACAACATCGATGATGACAAGTACTGCGGTCACCTGTACGGCCTTGGGTCGGGCTTCACCCAGAACGGCAACTACAATGATGAGGTGAACAACGTGACCACCAATGCTAGCACGACGTAGCCCCGGGCCCAGTCCAAGAATTCCTCTCCTCTGTAACAACTTTAGTCCCTCTGTGAGCACCGCAGTCTTGCTGGAAGACGGTCGGATTTTCAAACTGAATTATTTGTTGGGGTGAAATCATCTTAGATTTTCAGAATACTGAGTGTACATTTGAAATAATGGGTCAGCTTTGTGAAGTTTTATTGTTGGTAAAAAAACTTTCCCCTTAAATTGCCTCATAAATCTATCAGTGAAAAGATCTGTAAAACTATTTCCGTTTGAAATGCCCCACTTCCAGCAAGACGTCCGTATTTCTAAGAAGTCTCGCCATATTTTATGTCTTTGTAAAATTTGGTTTCCTCCTGATTATTTTTAATTGTTAGTATTTTGTACCCATTTCTTTAATCCCCCCCCATTGGATATTTGTTTATGTTGGGTCAGTTTGTGAATTCTTTCCAAAAAGGGGTAACATCACATCTGGAAGAAAAGAAAACTGAGAACCATTTTTAAAGTACCAGCCTATGTGTACAAGTCATTAGGACTGAACACTTAATGCTTTTTAAAAAATATTTTGTCCAAATCAGCTCTGTTAAACCCAAATATGCCAAACGCCTACCTTGCAGGAGATAGCTTACCAGATCCAAGCACTTGGAAACATCTTCAAAGAAACTAGTTCAAGGTTTTGCATTCCGTTATTGCTCCAAACTGTGAACATGTATAAAGTTTGTGCATTTATTCTACTTAAGCAAAGAAAGTGAAATTTGATTCAAAACCTACAAATGGCCCAAAATTGTATCACGTCTGCTCCTGGTCTTTCCCTGAAATACCACAAAGGACATGAAAAGATCACTTTTACACTAATGCTTCATCTTTTCATCTCAGTTGAATCTAGCTGTTGCCATAATGTCAACTCTTGGCTGTATCAGGAATAACTGAAATGAGATTTGGTAGTGTCCAAGGCATTGTTCAGTGAGTCTGTTGTTTCCCTATTTCTGACTAGTTCATCCCAAATCTGTTCCAGAGAAGCTTGAAGTACTTTAAGAATGGTTCTTTGCTGCGACAGCAAAGTCCATAAATTTGTAGGCGTACACCAAGAACGAGGGTAGTATGTAAACCCTGCATGAGCTTAATTATTCCTTGGATTTTTTTGGCGTCCAGTTTTACTGTTTTGCTTCTTTTTAGACTCTGTAAAGTTATTGCCCAGATTCTGCAGGCAGATCTGGTACATGTTGAAGGTATCACCAGTGATGGTATGGCACACATAGTTCTTGGGCCATTCAGGGTTCTTATCAAATAATACGATGCCTGAAGGCAATTGCAAGGTACCCGAGCAGGCCAGCAGTGTGCATAAGGGAAGATTGGTAGCTTACTTGAAACCTTGGCATTTTTTGTGCAACTGTCGACTAAAGGCTGTGGTGTGAACCAGCACTGTACATGAACTGTACAGCTGCTCCAGCAGTTGAATTTTTAAAATGTACCCAAGCTAGGGTGTGCTCCATTCATGCAGATTGGGTCAAAGCTTTGTGCGCATTCTGCTGAAAACTGCCAGTGTGAAATACATGCCACTTTGCGCGCTGGTTGAGTCATGAGTAGGCTGCAGCCTGCCTTCTACACTTCTTGCATAACCCCACCCCCACCAGCAGATGTGTACAGTGTACTTGCAACCAGCAAATTTTGGGACCATGCATAGTGCACACCTGTGTATTTGCCAACATCCATACATAAGCGTTGCCAAAATCTACGGCCATCATTCCTTCACTGTGCTGTAATTCTGTGAGTTCTACTGTGCATGCATTCAGTAGGAGCTTGGCCTGCTTAAGTCTGGGAACTGTACTGAAACATTTTTTGAACAACTAACCCACACTTGGTGCTTTTTATACTGTATGTATTAATCATGTACCAGTTGGCCTTACCTGAAACTGAGAGCGGACGAGCTCTTCCACCACACCAAATCAGGGAAGCTGAAATAATTTGTTACATTTGGTTGGCACTGTTGTGAATAACCGGTTATGTCAGTGAGTTGTTAACGAATGTCATCACACCCTAAAAACTGGAAGACATTTATAGTGAGAAACCAGTAGTATGCCGTATCCACACACCTTATATGGACAGACTCAACTGATGCCTTGTGGTACATTGGTGGGAAGTTTTCCTTTCCAGAAAATTACAAGTTGAGAAATCTTGCCATTGTAATCTGCATGTTTACTTTTTAAAATTTCTTTTAAAAAAACGAAGTTGTTCAGGTAATATGTAATTGTTGGAGACATACTTTCACTCATGATTTTGTCCAGACACGAAATAATTGTCTTGGTCTACTTCTGTGATAAGTAGAAGTTTGTGAAAAGCCAATCATGGCTTTGGAGAGAGTTGTCTTGTAGAAAGTCCAGCTTTTCTCACGCCCTTAGCAGAATGGAACCAGTATTTGCCCTACAGATACATTTACATCAAATGAGAATTAGGTCCACTTTAATATTCTTGAACAAAAATGGTCAACTCTCAGCAAGCCTTCAGTTTTGGAATCTTATTTCCTTCAGAACAGGCTCTTCAAATTACTGGTTACTGTCTCAACTTGACATGCATATCATGTTAGCACCAACCAAACACCTTTTTATGTCATTTTTGTAACTTGTTTTCTTATTAGTCAAAACCATGGTGGTCATCAGTTCCAATCGACTTTCATCCAACCATTCCAGGCCTCGTATATTTTCTACTCAACACTTAGGGTTAGACAACAGTACTAGTAACTTGCTAATTTCATTAGTAATTTTCAACATGGTGCAAAATAACTGTTCATACTGCACTGTTTTATCAAGGCAATGCAAAAAAGACATTTAAAATGGTGTGCACTTACTATAGCAAGTTTTTAAACTGTACCACTGCATATGTTGTTATAATGTTGAAAATTTATGATTACTATCATTTGTGGCCTGTTGACCATGAGCCACAATGATGTTGGATACTTTGGAAATGATCTCATCATCTGCCATGTACCAATGGGTACTTTTCTGTGGAGAGCTGAAATTCAGACACAAATGAACTCGTCGCGCCCCAGAAATTGACTGGACAGTGTAGTACAGTGTCATCCACGTTTGTTTGTTTCACATGTAGGATTTGGTGCAATAACTTTTATGAGCCGTCTTATTTTTCCTGTGTACCCTTTGTGATTTTTTTTAAATCAATTGCTAGAATTAAGTACTGGTATTCTACATGCATAGGGACCAAAAGTCATCATGAAACTGACCCCGCCCCCCATGTTACTATTATTGAGAGGTATCCAAATCTTGTTTTATGACCTGTAAATAAATATATCCCTTCGTAAGAAATCATGACCTGGTGTGTCTCACGTTTATTGGGTGTTTCTGTTCTTTACCGCTGGTTGATTTTGGTGATTCGTTACTCTGATACTGGGTGTATCTACATTTAGCTGGTTTAGATGGGTGAGGTGAAAAACTTGTGACGCCTTGCCAAATCAGTCTAATATCTTCCGCTATACTGTACAACAAAACAAGATCCTTCAACCCATCTGCATTCCAAGTGGTACGATATCGTCACAGTTTTCACAAAGAGACAATTTTCTCATCGGACTGCAAAACAAAGGTGTTGAGAAAATCGCATTTGCAGTTGGTCTCTTCTTCAAACGCTTAATTTCCTAGAATTTAGCTTTCCTTTAAACTCAACCATGCTACTCCGTGAAAGAGGGAATGTTACATGACACAAAACTACAAAATTAATATTTCTGAAAGTTAAAGTTGTTTATTTTGTAAACAAACAAGACTGTTCGTGAAATGCTAAAAATTCGTGTGACTTTTGGTCTCTTAGTGAAAACCGCACACACAATACACGCTTTTGCCGTAGCGAGTGTCAGGTGCAACATTGTTACATTTGTATACATTTCTGGAGTCAAATTGTCTCTTCATGAAAACTACAAAACCACTTTTGCCCATGGTTTTGATCTTTTTGCCAACGTTGTCTCTTTGTGAAAACCAAAAATGCGGTTTAGTTGAATTTTATCCCACAGGATAACCATGATTTGGGTGACTTCAGTAGATTTGGTAAAAAATGATTACATTAAGCTGTAAGCATTGCATAGCCGAGTTGATTTTGCCAAGAAACAGAAACTAGAAAAAAAAAACTTGATTTGGGGTTAAATTGTCTCTTCTTAAAAATTATGACGATATGAAGTGTAAATATAGTACATTCAATTGCTTTTCCTGGGTAAAAATTGGCACAAGTACAGGTACTGTCATAGGTAAAAAAAACGAACAAGCAAACAACTGTGCTTATAAGGGAACAAGTGAAGATAGTTTGTGCAAGTGTGCAGAACAAGTCTTATAAAAAAAGAAATCAGAAATGTTGCACAAACAATTTTAACCCCCTGAATAGCGCCTTGTACCCTGTAAGCAACTGACATCCAAATAAAATGAACTCAAATTCATGCATTCTTGTGTCAGCATTTGCCTTTATTCACCTAAAATATACCAAATGTACTTTTGATTCTAAGATTATTTACAAATAATTTGTTACACTAATTCTCAAATAGTGTCAATTCATCTAAGAAAAATACATGCAGACTTGAAATGGTGTCTATTTATTGTTGCTGTGCAATTCAAATGACAAAACATGACTGAATCTGGTGTAAGTGAAAAACAGTTATTTGGCAAACTGCCAACTTATAAGAATTGGACAGAAAGCAGGGCTATTTTTAGTTACTTGGAGTGCTGTCTTCCAAGGATGGGAGTGGTTGATTTCCAAGGATAGGCACATTCTTGCATTCAATGAAAATTATTCCATTAGTCTGCAAGCAGTACTGTGTGTCTGCTCAGCATGCCTTTGTGATGCATATTTGACATCTGACAGTGTGCTGCTCCACCACCATATGTCCGGTAGTGAATGCCCTTCAGATTCAATCTTTTGTTTCTGTATTACATAAGACCATTACTGACAGGAAATAATGTTGGAAGTCTTTAGTTCATGTGAAGCAATACAAGTGTGATTATGAAGAGTCCACTGGTGCACAAACATAGTTTACCCACTAAGCTCTACTTCACAAGTTAAATCCAGACCTCTTTGTTACTTGACAGAGCTCCATGTGTTCTGTAACTCATTACTGTCAAGGTGACAGACCCAAGTAACTGTCAAAACCTGCCTTCTCCACATTGGAAAACATGTAGGGAAAATTATTGTAAAAATTCAAACTAAACACAGAACTTGTGGGGGGGGGAGTTGACAGACTGATGGGATGAACACTCCCTCAAGTTCAACCATGCCTGATGGTAGTCTGTGCATCACTGTACCGGAACTCATCTTGCATGTGATCAATCCTGTATATTTGATTCATACTCCAATGTTGTTAGTAGTTTTTGTAATGACCCAGCCTGCAGGAAAAGAAAGATACAATTCACAGAAACATCTTGAGAAAGATCATGGAAACTATTGCAAGAACCAAAAACTCACATAATTACAACTTCTAAACAGTAAATGAAATGTTGAAGGGTAAAGTGTGCTGCCCACATGAAATCAACCAAGCATTTCAGTCCAGGACCCAAATTTATGGAGCCGCTTAATGGCAGAAAAGTTGTGCTTCCTATAGCAGAAAAATTTGCAATAAATATTGAGTGCTATTTCATGGTGGTCAGAACTGGACAGAAAATGTCGCAGTTCTCTAACAGGCAAACAAGTTTTCCATTACCTTCTGCAACAAAGTTGTACATTTCTCGTATAAGTATAAGAGACTTAACAGAACACAATAAACTAGTCATATTGTTCATTTTTGCTTCGTTTGGTAAAACTTACACCAAGAAAATGACTGCATGAGTTAAGCCATAATTTGTTGTGTAAGTCACAGACTTACACAGTGCATAAGTTCTGTGAAATCAATCTTAATTTGATGCGCAACTTATGCAATAAAATGAGGCATAAGTGGAGTTCCACCACTGTGTAAAGTTTTGTGAAATCAGCTGCAGGACTTGGAGTTCACATACCTGTACAGCAGTGCTTTTCCGCGGCTGTTACCCACAGCCATATAACCACTGCTGGGGGAGAAGTCCAGTAGCACGGGCAGGCCAATGCTGTCAGACTTCAGGGGAAAGTTGGCAAATACATGACAGTCTGGTAGGTGGATCTGTAGAGATGAGGAACCCATAGTTTGTCAGACCCTTAGTTTGTGGTAGTCTACAGAGGCTAAGCCTGTGTCCGAATGAACTGGATGTGGCTCAGAGTAGCACAAGTGTCAGTGCAAAGTGGGTGTAGCTGCTACTTGCTGACTTCCACAGTGGCACATTCTACTGCCAGGTGGAAATCACAACTTGCAGACAGCACTTACTTGTGTCCTTGAGCAAGGTAATAGCAGTACAGTTGACTGCTCGGGTTAGATGAGACTCTGGTTTAGACGAGCATATTTGCTAATCCCGACTGAATTGCGCACATTCCTATGCGGAAAAAAATGTGTAATGCGAGCTCGGGTGCTACGAGATGTCGGTTAAAACGAGCATTTTTTGTGCACAGGCTGAGTGCAAATCTATTGTTATCTGTCTATTTAGCACAAGATTTTTTGAAGGCAACTTGTTAACCAGCCAATCAATTTTGAAAGATGCTTCTGTAATTTATGTTTATACAGTAGAACAAAGCTTCGATTGAATCGAGCCTTTTGTGTCTGGTGCTGCAAGAGAGACAAACAATGGGCGTTTGCAGTTCCCGTATCCAACGTAGAAATTCTTTGAGGCGGTTCTTGAACTGCCTAAACACAAGTGAGTGCCGCGAAAAGTCCTACAATATTTAGGACAGTGGTGAACAAAAGAAATCTTCCATTTGGGTGCCCCCGCCCCCAAGACCAACGTCCCACCAGGAAACTAATAAAAAGTGTGTTCCGTAACCAAATACCTGGCCCAAAAAACTGTCCACCCCCGTTAAAAATCGTTACCCTCTCCCCACCGTAACATGAAAATATCGCCCCGATTTTGACATTTCTATAAGTTCTCAATTTAAAAAAATCATGAGTAACCGTGGTTTTCAGTCCCAAAATGTTAAAGAAAATAACACCCACAAGTTTTGAAGAAAACAGTGCATCCCTCGCAAAAATTTTTTCACCAAACCGACACGCCTTTCTAAAGTAAAATCCGATTTTTGCCCTCTGCTGTCCACATCACCAATTGCTGGTTTCCTCCCATTTTTATGTGCAACACGCACAACTCTGGCATTGGCTACCAACTAAAATGTTAATGTACTTACGTTACTTGCGTACATGTGGATCTCATCCCGGCGTGCGGGGCCAGGGACGCGTGATATGGCATCGCTCTGAATCGACATGACTGGTGGAAATTCCACTCTCTCCATTCTTACATTTTATAATTTTTCTTTTTTACAAGTCTTTATTCATTAAACTGTATCTCACTTTCATAAACAAACTTTTTAAAATAAAATTCATATACATGTAACAAAACGTACGTTTCTTTAAACAAAAAGTAAATGCATACTTGTACACATGTACGCTTTACATACGGTCGATTGGTGATACATACGTCGAGCAGGATGGCAGGTTACACGTAAGAAGAGGTCCAGATAATACGAGCTAATTTAGTAAGTCCCAATATTAACGAGAATTGACTGTAATTGCATATCCAAAACCATTAACACGTGAACACCAAATAAAACAATAGAGAGGGTCAATAGTTGACTTAGATACCAAGTACAATCATCGATAACTTTGTGTCATTGAGTCACATACCTTTGATAGTTTCCTGAGGTATTGTGGGAAGCTAAGTTGTGGGACAATACGATACCATAGTACTAAGAGAAACCACAGCACATCAATGTCATGGCACTGCTTATCATTAAGCAAATTTTCTTTGTTGATCGCAGCACAACTATTTGCTTAACAGCGAGTATATTTTGCAGCAAACAGTTTATGGTTGCTGTGTTTAACACAAAAAATGCATAGGCGCGCACAGAGGTTTCCATTGTTATGTCATTAATTTTAGCTAATTTCTCCTCTGAGGTTAGCGTGCCCTTTGCTGTACTTACTGCTGACGGTCTCCATGAAATACGCAGACCCTCTGTTACCTTTAAATTGTGTGCTTAGCAGTGCCATGAAATTAGGCCAAAATTACCAATATGAGATTCTATCCTGGAAATGCAGCTTAGCCACCAAGGCAAGGAATTGACATAAACAAGTCAGACACTGAGTACTCTTGATCTTACCAGTTTAACTGCACCCTGGGTGTGGAACGATGTAACCCCTAGTATCTCACTGTTGCAGTTGAACTTGGCAGCCGTCACAGACGTGGTCAGGTTCATGACGGCTTTCAGGGGCTTGGGTCTGGTCGCTGTGAGGCACTGGCTGCTGTCATAGATGTTCACCACTCCACTGCTAGACCTGCAAATAAGTGAATTTCAGAAAATGATATCGACAGAGCTGCAAAGTTGGCATCATGTGAGCACAGCCAGTTATGCCGTGTTGTTATCAAGTCAAGAGTTTTGACTGGGGATGGTTCAGCATCTTTTGGTTAAGTCCATCACAAATCTTGACACAAGTCCATATGCAAGTCCAGTCAAAAGTCAATAGTAACGAACAATAACAGACAAATGTATTCTAATTTTATTAAAATTGTCCATTCTTAATTATGTTAACTTCTGTATTAAAAAGTCAAGCCATGTCTTAATGCCTTTATTTTGTCCAGTTTCAGTCAAAAGGATAAACTCACCCACACGCCAAGTACTGGCCATCCCTGGATACAGAAATGGTAGTGCCCTTGATGCAACCATCATCTACAAACTTATGAATGCAATCCCTGGTTTTCATGTCCCAGATGTAGACCTCTCCATCGTCTAAGGGGGATGGTTGGAAAATGATATTACTGGCATGTGATGGAAAGCAAACTCAGGAAAAACTGTGGGATGTCCAAAGGGTTAGAGCACTAAAGCAAACTCAACAGTCCTTGTCTACCTTCATCTTTTGAAGAGAATGTCAGGTTTTAGGAAACGCACCAAGTCAGCTTTCTGAACTGATGACATTTGGCACTGGGTCAAATTTATTTAAACTTTTGCATACATGCCCTAAAGGAGGGTGTAGGGTGATGTGTCTGCGGTTTCTTGTATTGCTCAAGAGTCCCTAGATCATTCCAGATGTGTAGCTTTGCCGATACAAGGCTTTCCCAAAATCATGTCACATAGCAACAGTTTACTAAGTCTGGGGAGTGTAACTCTAAATGCATGAATAGAAACAACTTTAATACCAGCCAACCTGCAAATGCAAACCCTTGTGAGCAGTTTTAATTTGTCTTCTGCTGATCACTTCATTGTTGCTCCCTTACCTCCAAAGGAAAACAGCTTTGATCCGTCTCCACTGAATGCCAAGGATGACACGGATCCGTTCATCTTCAGGGAGCAAATCAACTCTTTGTTCTGAATAAAACATCAACAAACCCTAAGAATACTACTTGTGAAGAGATCAATTCTATGGCTTAAATTGGCAACAAAAGAAATGTATCGCTGCAGTATGCTCCAGCTTCAAATATACATACAGCTTTGGGTGCTGAAGAGTTCCCAAAGTATGTAGCTGATTTCTCACTTACATGTATTTGAGCAACTCAATGCATTGCATTAGAATTGTCCGATCCCTTTGAGACTCCGACTTACGTCAAATAATTTTACTGACAATACCCTCTTCCACCAGAAAAAAAAATAAAACTGACTCGGACCTCCATCTTTCATTCATTTCCCCCGCACCTCACAGCTAACACCAATCACATTGCGAATTCCACATTAAGATCATTTATTTTTGGCTGCCTTGACAAGATACCAGCCTGAAAACAATTCGAATGGCAATTTGATGCCCAGTGGTACATACACAGAACAAACTTTGTCAAACTGATGCAAAAGCACAGAGATCTTGGCTTGGACTCTGCCACTATGATTTCACGACCTGAAATTTCAACAGATTCTGAGAATGACTTGATGCTCAGACTAACTCAAGTACCACGCTAACCTTTGCGGACACAAGGTGAATGAAGCCATAGAGGCCCTGGAATGCAATGAAGCTGCCATCCGGTGCAACGGTGAATCTGCACAACGGTTGTCTCTCATGATATTCTGATAAAACAAAAATGACAAGTATGATTACTTGATGCTGAAACTCCAAGGAAATAGAATGCTAGGGCAAGCCAGACACGTACATGTACAACGACATGTATATTTTCAAAAGTAATGAATTTGCCTAATTCCTAATGCTATAACGGGGCAAACCTTTAACTGTAAGTTACGTTTAATCATAATTTAGCACCAGAAACTGACAGACATTAACTCCAATTCCAAAGACGTTTTTACCACTATACAACTTTAATTTAAAAAAAAACTCCCTTATTTTTCCATGTATTCCTTGGAAGTTGACCACTGCCTCAATCCTTTAAAATCCCCCGGCAATTCCTGTCAGTATGTTGAGGCATTGTGAATGATATCCAGGAACAGTGGGGAGGTTTCAATATAAACTGGGTGTAAATTTAGTCATGGGTGGGTATACACACAAAAAGATTTGTCCCATGATGTTGACACAATGCATCCTTTGAAATCAGCCATACAGGTTTGCCATGTAGCCTCAATCCCTTAAATTACTCCACTTACACATGGCTGATCTTAGGAGGACTTAGGAAGGTACGAGTTAATAAAAGCCCTCTGTATTCACATGAATCTGGATCTCGATCAGTCATCCCATCGCTGGTTCACTCCATCCCCTAGGTGGGTTTTGGTGTAAGTGAACCAACAATGGATCACTGATCGCAATCCAGATCCGCGTAAAACACACAGGCCCAAAAGGTTACAAGTTTGTTAAATGAACATTGTCAGCCCACAACCAAACACTTTATGAAATATCATGAAGGTAATATATCAAATCAACTGGGCCACACTTTTTGTTCACCTCTGAGAAAGGACATACGCTCCAGTTTCCCTGCAATCATGTCGTAGACGTAGTACCAGCGTGACCTTGACGACACGATGACCTCTGTTCCGTCGGCCGAAAAGTGTGCATTCGTGATCGGAAACTGCTCTATGGCAACACTTTGAATCTTGGGATTGTTTTGGCCATCTACCTGCAACGGGTTTGACGACAAGATCAGATAAGTTTGCAAGAAAATGTAACTAAATCCTACAATTGTAGGCCTGTGCCGCTTACCCAGGTACCCGCCCATCAATATCAATACCAGGTTCCATTTTTAGGGCCAGGTACCTGCGAAAAAAATGTATGAAATGTATGTGAACTTTCACAGTGGAGCACAGAATTGCTGACAAATCAGCATGCCGCTGAAAACTTGGTCCCGTAGTCATAACTCCGGTTCAGAGATCGATGGAGCTACTTTTGTTACAAATTAAAGGTAACACTTCATTTAATAAAAAGGTGGGGGAGATTACCCTCTAATGTTTAGACCAATGTGCTGCTATACGTACAAAAACAGAGCCCTGTTTCGGGGAAATGGTCCACCAGGATTGTGAACAATGCCATTTGTTAAGTGATCTTTATATTTTAAGGGTATCCAGGTACCCAGTATTGGTATAAAATGGGTACCCAGTTCCAAAAATACCCCTAAATGCACACCCCTATACAAAGGTGTTGTAAGTTGTTAAAGACGAAACTACTACATGTCTCCTCAAGATGAAGCTGGAACTTGTTGAGGTTTGAAAAACCACTCTGCTCTCAAGAAGAGACAACAAAGCGCCCTCGGTGGTTCTGGTACAGGGCCAACAGCTGATGCCCCACTTCTAAACGCTCACATTTTACAGAGACTGTGATGATCAACATTACAATACCTGGAATATGTGTAAGCTCTGATCTTCCCCAGCTGTTAGTACAACCTGAGATGTAGGATGAAACTCCAAAGCCGAAAGCCTTCCCTTGAATTCAAAAAAGAATAAGGCCAATATTTTGAAATAAATGTCCTGTTAAAGGTAAGCGACTTGAATATCCTTTAAGCAGTGTAGCAATGTACAAGTAATCCGAAAGGACCAATATCTGCTTAAGGGCAGAATTTTGCTTGGAAAATATCTGCTAAGCAAAAAGATGTTTACCAGCCAAAATGTCACACACTGTATACTTTCTGCAACTGATTTCCCGCAGGTTTTGCTGAGCGTGTAAATTTGTTAAGCGAGATTTTCCACAAAAGAACTCCATGGACTTGGGTCCAGCGTCACCGCATGTTTTCTGTACCAAGTTCCATAGGGTGTACACAAGATTAGAAGGGTGGTTAGCTAAAACTGGCCCAATGATGTATATAGATAGGTAGGTCACCTTGGTGTACTGTTCCTTATTTGCATTGGTGACCTTCCTGACTTTGAGGAAGCTCTTGGGTAGCAATTCAGAGGTTGTTAGGAAGTCACCGGTCCGTCTCAAGAACTTGTCTTCTTCTTCCTTGTCACTTCCGCTCTCATCTGTGACAAAATGAGAAAAAAAATCAAAAAAAGTCACTGTGAACTTGTGCATAATAGACCCTCACAATTCTCATTGTGTCAAACAGACTGATAGATCTCTAACCTAGAGAGCAAACCGAAAACTAATTACTGGTGCATGTTCATTAAGACTGTACCTTCTGATTCGCTGGTTCTTTTCCTGCTGGACTTTAATTGGGCCCAGGATGGGGTGGTACCGACTACCTTCTCAAACCTGCAATAAAAACCAGATTGAAGTGAACATTTCATTGATTTCAGTAGTAGGTATCGACTCAGATTTGAAACATTATTAAGTAGAGTAGCTGAGTGTCAGTGAGTCTATCCCAATGCCGGTTTATTTTGGTACCAGTTAAGTGGGACTTAAGGCCAAGTTGCGCTTGGTCAGCCATCTGTGCCTGAGATACATGTAGCTGCCACTGGTTTGTGAACTCCCCAGGGAAATGAGATTGTTTTAGGAATACTCATAGGCCTGGTGAGAAGGTTTTAGATGGAAGTGCAGTACATTAATATGAGAGTCCCACCAACATTGAAATGCTCTGTGCTCTTTCTGTCATTAACAGGATCAAAGAAAACAAAAAACCAATATTGTCCCATCTGCAATTCTTCAGAGACAGCAAAGAGGGAAGCCTCTGTAGTCAAAAGATTCAACTAGAAAAATGATGCATGTAGGATCTAACAGAATCAAACAACAGCAAAGTGGCAAGTCAACAAAATCCAAATGTACCTAACAGTTACCATTGACATGGCTGCCTCTCATTACCCAGATCAGCAAAACCGACTACAGTTGTCTTGAAGGATATTGTTACTCTGTACAGTGGAACCCCTCCCTCTAAACAGTTTGGGTTCAGAACAGAACAGACCTGTTTAAGTAACACCAATGAAACTTACTGTGCTTTTCGACTATTGCTGAATACTGCCCCAGTGTTGACTGGCAATGCAGTCCTCTCACGGTTGCTATTTTGGTTTGAGCTGTGGTGAAAATGTCAAAGTAGGGAAAAATAAACATCCAATTAACCACACCACAAGTGGAACTGGCAAGGTTTTGCAATGAGAAGTAATCAGCTGTATTCTTCCTGAACATTCCCTGATAGCTGCTGTCTTTTTCATCAGCTAAAAGCAACAGGTATAGTGTAAGGCTCACACTTACGTTATCAGAGTTAAACACCCTGTGATATTCAAGGACTCTGAAATTATTCAAGACCTTGCATAACAATGAAGGAAACATTTGACTTATTCAACTACAGTCTATAAGCATGATGAGGGTGAGTGCAGTTTTTCAGTATACTTGAATAGAGTCCCTGATGGCTGAACATGTATGGTAAAAATGCCACCTCATTTCTGTAATGTGTATGTACATACAAACATGTACATGTATAATTGGGTTTAATGCATGAATCCCACAATTAATGTGTCATGACTTGTGATGCCCATTGTTTTGTACACAATAAAACCCATCAAAAGAGAGGCGGTGTCCAAGTAATTTGGCTGCGGCTTGAAAATACGCATTAGTCTATGGTAGTGACTGCAACCAATACCCATAGATCTGTGTGTAATTTCAAGCCGCAGTCAACTCATTCACACACAGCCTGACTTCCGAGTGTGGGTGACTTGAGACTCAGACTCAAATAGTGATCTTTAGCAAGCCACCTTGTGTAATGCTCATCTTCGTCGTCTTCCCAGGCCGGCTTCCTCTGCTCTGCATCTAAGACACTGATTCTCTGTTGGGCAGAAAAGCAACAGTGTTGAACTGTGTAGGTAGCCACCACTTGTTGGAACATTTGAAGCGTTCACATTTTTCTGGTTCTATGATTACAGTTCATGTCATATTATCCCTACATGCCAGAGAGCTGACTAATGACACAATCAATGACAGAATATTACATCTGAGATACGTGGGAATGAGTTTGTAATATATAACCTTTCGCCCATCACAAACAATCAATAAATGAGTACACATACTGCACATGTATATGTATATTTAGTGCAGCAATTTGAGAGCAGTCTAAGAGCATTGGGATATTCTGACGTGTCCGACAAACCTAAGCATGTTAGGATTAAAATAAGCATCTCTGTGACACAACATTCCAACACGAGTCACTGACTGTAAACCCCATTGCTTCATCAATTTAAAAAGCAAGCCGAGGGAGCAACCTAGTTTTTTCCCCACAAAAACTGCTTTCCCATGTCGTCAGTTGCATCACAAACTGACAAATTGTTGATAGTTGCTGCACCACTGTCACTTCCTGGTGCACCAAACCATCCTATACGCCACACTGTGGTGAAACTGACGACATGTACATCTTACCGTTACACAGCACAAACGTTTTGGTGTTCTTTACAAAATGACAAAACCAAACCAAAAAATTCATTTTCTTCATTGTTTTGTTGTGTTTGTGTTTTGGTTACATCAGCATCATCCTTACTGGTGTAACAAAGGCACGGCCAAGTGCATCCTCCTATCACAGACAATGAATGACAGACATGACAGACAGAAATCATGGTCACATTCATCATGATCGGTGTGAGTCACTTTGCCCATTTGCCACTTTGCCCACGACCACTTCAATGACTTCTCCCTTTTGCTACTTCACCCATTAGCCACTTTGCCCATTTACCACTTCTTCCTTTTGCCACCAAACCCACATGCCACTTCGCCCATGCGCCATTTCGCCCATGGCCTTTGTCAAAATTTAAGAGAGGAGGACACATTAAAATAACAATCCAACCCTTCCTGAATCCATCTTGAATGCCAAGAAAGATAAAACATCATATTAAGATATGGTGCATTTAGAAAATGACAAGGTTTCCTTTGATTAAGCCGATGCAAAGTGAACAGTGGGCGTGGGCGCCAACCGGCGCATGTAGCAAGAACAGCGTGGACTAGCTTTGCCACTCCTTCGACAACATAAAGTACATTCCGAATTTTGACAACCCAAATTTGACATAAAATGATCAAAAACTTCAGAACTATTTCAGTGACTTAGTTCTTAGAATTAAAGTCATCTTCATGCATCTAGATATTGTCTGTTTTTCGTGAGGTCTCAGTGCAGGCTGTTGGAAAACTACAGACTGTCGTAACAGAAACAATGCTTTTGAAAACGCTTTGGTAAGAGTACCTATACGGACAACATTAATTTTCCTTTAAAAAGGTTCAAACAGCCATCAGAAAGTGATAAGATGTCCTAAAAAGTCAAATTTAGCTGAGAAAATTCTGAAGCATTACTTAGAAAACACGTTTTTTCAGACAAGTCTCATAGGTTTGTGCACAGGGGCATCAAGTGTTATCCGTATATGAAACTCTTTCCAATGCTTTTATTGTGTTTGAGACTTGATGTTTTTATTAGGCCATGAGAATGAAAGTTTTAGATTTGCGTCTGGAACATTTTGGAAAAGTAGGAGGCTTTTTTTCATTATTCAATATTTATTTTTAGCAAGATGGTATGCGTAGTGGCCATACATGGTACGTACCCAGAGCAGTGCGTATGCATGTATCAGAGAATTTAATCATTTGTGTAGTACATTTAGGTAGGTATGTGGAGGTACCTATGATGCAGAGATTTGTCGATGAAACACAAGCCTGCGTGCTTGTAAAATTAGGCAAAGAATAGGCAAAATATTGTGTGGACCCTGGTGTGGGCGAAGTGGCATGCGGGCAAAGTGCTGGTGGCAAATGAGTGAAGTGGCATATAGGCAAAGTGGTTGTGGGTGAAAGAGCTATATATGCAATCACACATATGAAGCCAAACCACGGTTCACAACCATGCAAAATGCATGACATCTGGATGCTCAACCAACCATAAAAACTTCACGTGTGAAATTAGGCTCCAATAACATTCAGGCTTTATTTTCCTTTAAAAAAAAACCTCCCTGCCCACAATTCCGACCCGTGATTCGAACCCACACCCCATGCATCACAAACCATTATGCCGTAACCGCTTGACTACCGCAATTCACACAAATTGATGGTGTTTTTACTGTTGATATAACGATGAACGGCTGCACCGCAAGTCTAATACACATTGGGCATGCGCAACACAAACACAACCATCGTGGTTTGGCTTCATACGAATGGTTGCATATACATGGTTTCGAGTCAACTCGGACCCAAACCAACTCGGACCCATGCCAACTCGGACCCATGCCAACTCGGACCCT